GATCCTACTTAAGCAACATGGAAAATTTGACTCCTTACGATTTCATTAACAGATTATTCTGCCCTGTGGTCAGTAGAAGATATTGAATGTGTTTTTTTTATTAGGTTGCTCCTAATCTTGGGTGCGGGTGGCGCTGTGGTCTAAACCACAGAGACTGGGGCTTGCCGATCGGAAGGTCGGCAGTTCGAATCCCCGCGACAGGGTGAGCTCCCGTTGTTCGGTCCCAGCTTCCCACCTAGCAGTTCAAAAGCATGTCAAGTGCAAGTAGATAAATAGGTACTGCTCTGACGGGAAGGTAAACAGCATTTCCGTGCGCTGTTCTGGTTCACCAGAAGCGGCTTAGTCATGCTGGCCACATGACCCGGAAGCTGTCTGCGGACAAACACCGGTTCCCTCGGCCTATAGAGTGAGATGAACGCGCAACCCCAGAGTCGTCCACGACTGGACCTAATGGTCAGGGGTACCTTTACCTTTAATCTTGGGTAGTGATGTAGTTGTATTGGCACCAACCATAATGGCATGGATCATTTCTTCATTGAAGTATCATAGCTTCAACTTACTGTGCTCATTGTCTCAGATAAATATCTTATCCCTTCTTGTAAGCAGGAAAAAAGTAGGATGTTGAAAGAGCAAATCCTGGGCCTGCCAAGTCATTGCAGAGTAAATGGAGTTCCTGTTGACTTTCAGCAGGATACCAATCACCACTGGCTTTCATAGGAGTTGGCCTATAATTTAGAGCAAATTACTGTGTATGATCTGAATCCCAAATCTGTTTTTTGCAAAGGCTTGTAAGGTTGTTTGTGGTCTTTTTAAAACAACAACAACAGGGAAATGCGGGCAAATCAATATGTGATTTTTATGGCAACTTTTACAGTATGTTTGTTCTCTCTTTCCCACAATACATGGCTGTAGATTTCTAACCCAAATCATCAGTTACTATAGGAGTTCATTATTGAAGACTAATGCTACCTTTCCCAATGCCTAAATGATAGTGCACATAGCAAATCTCAACATTCTTACTCATGGGCTAACCTTCAGTGTCATAATATTTATGTAAGACTGTGATGCTGCATTGATGAAACAGTTAACACATGCTTTACCAAGCGTTTAGCTGCTGTCTCTTGAGATGCAGCTGCTTGTTTTTTGTAACAAACAAATACAGTACGTATTGGGCCGAATATAAGCCACCCTTGAACATAGGCCGCAGCTGTAAAATGAGATATCTTAAATGAAAGCTTCTCTACACAGTTAGAGGCTGCACTAAGGTTTTTAGAAGCCAGATTTTTATTGGGGGGTGGTGGTGGCATTTATTCAGACCAAGGTTGTTGTTTTTAAAATAAAGTCATTAGGGAGCTTTACACCTTACATTTAAAATGTACACCTAAAAATACAAGACATGAATGTGCTCTGTGTGTTCTGTGATGTGTATGTTGTATAGGCATACACATCAAGAATCTACAGTTGGCTGTGGTTTTTTTAGTTGACTGTACACTTTAAAAGAGTGAACTTCAATTTTCTGTCATGGAATGGAATGGCCCTTAGAAGCTGCAGCAATCCCACACAACAAGAAGAAAGGAGCACAGAGTGTGTGATACTTCCTGCGTGACCAGCTAATGTTCAGTTGAATTACAACCTGCCTGGATTTGATAGAGAGATCAGCACATTAATCAAAACGATGGAATAAATTGAAAAGGACATTTTAGAAAAAGTTGATTATGGGGTATATTTTAATCTTTATTATTGTTCAGATTTCACTGCTGAATTTTTATGTGGGTTTCTGTGGCTGGATCTCTCTACCAATGCTGAATAGGTTTGTAATTCTGTTGACATGGGTAGTGTTTAGAACCTCTATAGGCTTTGTTTCAAACCCACCCTACATTATGAGTTGACGTATAAAGTCAGTGGGGAGGTACGGTATATTTCCTATTCTTGTGGTTCTTAACTATGGAACTTTCAGCATCTACTATGACCTGCATATCAAACCTTCAAATCATTTTCTGCTCAACTAGTGTGATGTAAAGAGCCATAACATTTTTATTCTAGCAAGGTAAAGGTATGACTGAAGTATCTTCTGGTCACTTAAGACATAATACACTTTTCCAGTGGCTGCTCTTCTTGCCTATTAAACTATATTAGCACATGTCTATAGTTCAGTTTTCCAAATTCATCATTGAAAGCTTGTATAGGTTGCTCACTTGTGAATTTCTTGTGTGGATTATAGGGGGGTGTTAGATTGGCCCAGAAGCTGCATACTGAAAACCTGTTTTCCTGACATCCACTAATGAGGAAAGTCATTCCTTAGCTCTATACTAATGGAAAGCACATGCATGTCTTCTCACTTTTTGGTAGCACACAGGATACTAGTCATACTGGAACTTTAGCAGTCCACACTGCATTTGTGCTGCCTGGATTCCAGGCTTCCACTGTGCTTGCAGATATATCAGTCAGCCTAGACTGGCTTCTTAATAGATCACTGCCTATGTTGACTATCACTGCAGTGACAACTTTGACAGATGCTTCTCTGCCAGATGAGTGAATGAAAGAATTACATGAGAACATGAGTCTTCTTATTTGTCTGTTTAGGAGTGAATGCCTATATCTGTTGCCAAATTCTCTCCAGGTAAAATGCTAGAAGGGTCAAATATCCATTGTCGACAAAGGATGAGATCCTGTATCTCAGTGTTCCCTAAACTTGGAAGGGTGTGCAAAGTGGGGAAGAGGAGAAAATAGGGTTAATTGGTAGAATATATTAATAGGAAACTTCATTTCAGAATGCTGTCACTTATGCAGTTTACATCATATTCTTGGGTAGGGAGAATAGTTTTGTTAAGAAAAGAACAAATTCTAAGCAATTCAGTTTTGTTTACATGTTCTATGCCAAGAAAGACATTTGAAAAGGAAAATGCATTTCTGAGTTTTTGATTTGATGCAATTGTGTTGTTTTTGGCAATAGCTTGGGGAATATTCTTGGAAGTATACTGCATTAAACTTTGATTGTTGCCTTTTAATGCCACCCTTGGTTATTTCTACACCCAGTGCTGATGTATAGCTCATGGGTAGGCAAACTAAGGCCCGGGGGCCAGATCCGGCCCAATTGCCTTCTAAATCCGGCCCGCGGACATTCCGGATATCAGTGTGTTTTTACATGCGTAGAATGTGTCCTTTTATTTAAAATGCATCTCTGGGTTATTTGTGGGGCCTGCCTGGTGTTTTTACATGAGTAGAATGTGTGCTTTTATTTGAAATGCATCTCTGGGTTATTTGTGGGGCATAGGAATTTGTTCATGTCCCCCCCAAAATATAGTCCGGCCCCCCACATGGTCTGAGGGACTGTGGCCTTTTCAGAAACTGGTATTCAGACGCATTCTGTCTTCAAACCGTGTAAGTAGAACAAAGCCATTGTGGCTAGCGGCCATTAGTAGCCTTCTCAAACCTGAATTCGTCTAATCCTCTGTTAAAGCCATCCAGGTTGGAGACCATCGCTACCTTTGTGCTAGCATATTCTATAGTTTAACTATATACTGTGTGCAGAATTAGCTCCTTTTGTCTGTTTCAAATCTTTCAACATTCAGCCTCGTTGGATTTACCCAAGTTCTAGTATTTTGAGAGACATGGTGTTTTTTCGCTGTCTAATTTGTTCACATTGTGCATACATTGTGTACACATTGTGTACAAACATTGTACACCTTTATAATATCCTTTTTGACTTTTTTCTAAACTCTTTAGAGTTAATAATAATAATACCCCACCCACCTGTGTGGCTTCCAGCAAAATATAAAAATATAATAAGATGTCAAACATCCCAAAATTTCCTGATATAGGGCTGCCTTCAGATGTCTTCTAAAAGTTGTGTAGTTCTTTATCTCCTTGATATCTGATGGCAGGGTGTTCCACAGGGCGGGTGCCACTACCAGGAAGGCCCTTTTCCTGGTTCCCTGCAGCTTCACTTCTCTCAGTGAGGGAAGTGAAGTTGCAGAGAGATGTGGTGGAGCAGAGGTGAAGTGCTGTCACTTACTTCACATCAGGGATGATGTTGTTATCTTGGGACACTATTTGACATTTCTCTGCTTAATAATAATAATAAATTTTATTTATATCCCGCCCTCCCCAGCCGAAGCCGGGCTCAGGGCGGCTAGCAACAATAAAACAGTACAAAAGTACAGCATAAACAACACTCTAAAATCATTCATTATAAAATTAATTAATGCTTGTCCAATAAATCAGCTTACATGTGTGCAAGTCTACTCAGAATTAAGCCCTATTGGGTTGATGGGATTACTCTTAAATGTGTATACTGAGGATTTATTTATTTCTTAGTAAAGCAAACCGTTATGTATAACACTTATAGTTTACCAGTTTGTTCTCAGACAGTTCATGTGCGGAGGGGACATCTTTTCCCTAAATCTGCCCCTTCTATTTTTTCTGAAACTACATCGAAAGGGGGAAGTGGTTCTTTAAAAAGCCAGGTAAAACAAGGATGGAGGGAGGAATACAGAGGAAGAATGAGACAGCTTCAGGAGATGTTGGGTTCTGCATCAAATAAGGGCAGGGTTGCATACAGTCTCTGGGCCACAGACTGGCCACCTGTGTTCTAGAATATCAAGCATGCTCTCTGCTCAGAATGACTATCCTCCCAATAAAATATATTTTGTGTGTGTAAGCCAGCTGGCCATTGTAGCTGATTGGCAGAAGTAGTTACAAGGGAGGGGGATTAATCAAGCACAAGAGGTAGCTTGGAATATTTCAAATCCACACTCTTTCATATTGGAGTAAAATAAAATTTAGTTATTCCTGCCATGTGTGTACACACATACCCCACACTTAAGTAATTGCATTAGTGACTATAACACAAATCAGTTGGGTACTAGCTTAGTAAAATAAGGTGCCAGCATTTTGAAGAAATACAGGTGCTTTGTATTATTCAAATTGATGCTGCCTTTAGCATCCTTTCCTTTCCTAGTTCCTACTTAAAGACAATTTTTTGCACTTTATTTACACAGGCTTTGATTCTGATAATTCTTCAGGGGAGTTTTCAGAAGCAATTCATAAAGTCGATGTGGATGCCCACCAAAGTAATAGAACTGGAAGACACAATGGCGATGGACCAGTGCAAGAGAATGGAATCAAGAAACACAGGTATTCTCCAAAGCAGGCTTAACAGCAATTACCATCTGGTTCATGCAAATCATAGCAGGTGATTTTGTTTGGACATCCATTAAGCAACCTTGCCACTTCCTGGGAAGAGAGGCTTAAATACATCTACAGTGGTTCCTCTGGATAAGCACACCTCTGGTTGCATATCCATCAGGATGCGAATGCGGCAAACCCGGAAGTATTTTTCTGGGTTTCGCCATGCGCAGAAGTGCTGTATCGCGCACATGCGCAGAACAGGCACCTCCAGTTGCGAATTCCTTGGGATCCGACCGGAGCTCCAGAACGGATCCTGTGCGCAACCGGAGGTACCACTGTATATACACAACTTAAGGAAACGCTTCTAAGAATTATGATAGGGAAGGGAAGCAGAAGCTAGCTTACTTGTGGGTGGTACTGCAGCCTGAGACATTTCTGTTTGGTTGTTTTTAACAAAAACAATTCTCTCTCTAAAACTTTGACCTAATTATTTTTGAAAAGAGTAAAACAAAGCAGCTTATAACAACAGCAGCAATAACAAAACTAGCAGCAGCCTTTGGTTTTAAAGGCTGTCTCCCACATCATCACTTGAGAACACTATGGATAAAATGAAGATGGGGGAGTCACATCTTTTGGAAAGCAGCAAAATGAAGTTTTGTATGTTTTTTTAATCTCCTTGACTAAATAAAATGGGGAATGATTCACTTGGTTGTGTACAGGCACTTGTTACTTGCCATATGTAAGCAAGTGAGTACTCAAGGCTGCCACGTCATGTGAACTGGCCTGGAGTGGCCTTGGTTAGATTGCTGCCTGTTAGCTTTAGTTCAAATAGAAGAGTGCTCATATTCTAGTCTAATGCAGTCAGGTGACCTTGTCAGCATAATTTCCCTTGTCAGCATAATTTCCCTTTCTTCTGCATGGTTAATACTAGTTCTAGAGCCTGCATTTATTTTACTTGTACGTCAGTCTCATTCTTTTGAATGGATCTTTCATTTCAAGTAGATATACCTAACATCACAATCTTAGAATCAGTTTATTTGTATTTCCCTCTGGGTGTATTTAAAAATGCATGTAAGCAGTGAGAAGATTGTTCTTGCAACATCATAAAGTTGTGTGGTTTTGACAAAGTCCTGGAATCCTGGATAATTGATTGGAGTTCTGCATGAGTAAGGACATACATTGTTGGGACTTAGAAGTGACAGTTGCAGATGGATGCTTTTACCAAGAAGAGTTCAGTAGTGGTTTTAACCTCCTATTCTCTCTCCCCCCATCCCCTCTACAGAACATCATTACCTGCACCAATGTTCACTAGGAGTGATTTCAGTATCTGGAGTATCTTAAAAAAATGCATTGGACTGGTAAGTTACTGTCGCATACTGATGTAGTTTACCTAGTGCTTTTGATAAAATTTGCATTGCTTAGTGAGGGCAAAGGTCAAGTTTGCAGATGCAAAATAGAAGTACCAGAACTGTTGTGGTACAATGCAGAAAGCAAAGAGTGAAATTGGCTTGTTTTGTTATCCATACTGAAGTACAAAAAATACATATTATTATTACTGCTCTTTGTTCTGGTAATGAAGGCAGTGATAGTTTTGTAAATTAAATGGCAGCACTTTGGCTCTTCTGGTCCTAATTGCTAACTTTTCCTTTTTTCTCTCTTATTCCCCACCTTTTAAAGTTGTTTTTTTTTAAAAAAAAAGTTTCAATATTTTTCTTTAACTGATTTTTGTGATGATTTGGTAGGTAGTCCTGATACAAATTAAATCCTTAATGTATTGCTCTGTGTTAAGCACACATTTGAAATATTTCCTCAGACTATGCTTTCACATTACATTATTTATGTATCTGTGATTATAATTCCATATCTTGAGGATACTGGTCTGTTACTGTGGATCAGTCCCATGAATTGCCTGATGTAGACAGTTACCCAGCAGTGAGAGGCAAGCTAGCAGGTGCTATTTAGCAATAATATTTCTTTTACCTTTTTGTGTTTTCTTGCCATTAGCACACATGACAAGACACCTGGGGCGTGGATGTTTATTGTGATAGTGCAAGCTTTCTAAATTTTGTTTTAACCACATTCTCTGTATATCTGCTGCTTTAGTAGGAGTCTGACAGTGATTTTTAGCTGACGTCTCATGCTCCATTATACACCATGCTTCTGCATTTTATCATAGTTGCTCAAGCCCTTGTTTCTTATTCATATTGTATGCATTTTCTCTTGTACTGTTTAGGAGCTGTCTAAGATAACCATGCCCATTGCCTTCAATGAACCCCTGAGCTTCCTCCAGCGGATAACAGAATATATGGAACATACATACCTCATTAATAAAGCATGCAGTCATTCAAACTCGGTAGAAAGAATGCAGGTAATGTTAGCTATCATGCAGCTCTGTCCTTCAAATTCTGTCCATCGTGCATTTAAGATGGCTGGCTGCCTGCCTATGTAGAGAGTTGGCTTATAGGAAGGAAGCTTATATGAATGTCCTAATAAGTTGCTTACTTGAGTGTTTAGCAATTTGCAGTAAGTATCATGAAGAGGTTTTTTGTTCAGGTCACTCAACCATTGCAGAAGCAGTACCTTTTCAAAATTATTGTAAATCTGTCGCGAACTGAGCTAAATGGCAGAATACCAGATCCCAGAGGTAACAGTATAGAAATTAAAATCCCTTAAAGGATCTTGTTGCTTTATTAAACCCCAACAATTTTAGCACTCATAATTTAGACATGACTGTCCTTCACAACACTAAAAACTCTTACAAATATAGATTTCAGGGAGGTTAAATGCACCTAATTCATGGTGACGCCAGGTGATGGACCAGTTGGTGGCCCCATCCACTTGTCAAATAGCCTCTTGGCACTTGGGGAAGCAAAAGGTCCAGCTGGAAGAGGTTCCTCACCTGTGGCTTAGAGAGAAGATTGCATCTCCAGAAGCAATTGGCCGTTTTTGTTTAGGGAACATTTAAACACCATTTGAAAATAGTAAAGGAATAGTTATTACAGCATATAAAAATCATAACTGCCCCTTTGGGATTGCCTTTTGTTTTATATTAAGATTCCTTACCACTATGCATTTTGCAGGCTGTTGCTGCTTTTGCAGTTTCTGCTGTAGCCTCTCAGTGGGAGAGAACTGGCAAACCCTTTAACCCTCTTCTTGGAGAAACATACGAATTAATCAGGTGAGAATACCAACTTTGTCAGAGTTTTGTTTTTCCCTTGAGATATACACAGTCCAACTGGCTTGAGCAAAATGGGTTTTTCTAGGAATGTAAAGTCTGTTTGGTCTTTGTTACACGTTACCCAAAACTCTCTGATCTGTATCAGATATGCTGTTCAACCACTTTAGAAATTGTGCAAAATATGGTTGAATGTTAAGAAGATTTTCTTGAGGCATAAAGAGGGTGCTCCGGAGGGCCCCAGACTATTGGGGCTGCTTATGAACTGCAGCATAATCTCCTACTGGAATCTTTACTGTCCTTTTATGGCATTTCTGTATGGGCTCTGGAGTGGGGGATTTTTGAAATCCCAGTCCCCATGTTGACTACACACAGGCTTCTCTAGCACTACATTGTTTAGCTGATGGTGTGGATAAACATGGATGAAGGGTGTAGAAAACCAGGTGAAAGGGGTTGTATCCATTGTTGTGTTCCACACATTGGTGGTGGGGGCTAGAGATAAGGTAGAAAGTCCTATTGCTCAAGCAAAAATCCTTGCATGTGCCAACTCCTAGGGGCAAAGGCAGTTTTGGAGCCCCATATGTTTTTAGAGGGGGGCTGGCCCCCTGAATGTTCAGAGGGCATTCGGCTCTTCAGGATGTCAGGACGTCACGCCGGGCCCACTCAGTGAACTCTGATTGGCAGGGTGCAATACCACCCAAAATATTTGCGTGTGTATGTGATAGTACTTTGTGTGTGTTGTTTTATATTCAAGTGCCAGACCAAGAATGCCATAAATTCCCATATAGACATGTTCTTGTTGTATTAATGGTATTATATAGTTTGCTGGTGATGATATTGGTACTTAATACTCAAGTATCTACCTCACAGTCACAGTGCTTAAAAAGGTTTATCTACTAATAAGTAACCTGGGTAGTGGGGCAGAGTTATTTCCAGCTGTTGTAGGGGAGAGCAGTTGGATTGTACAGCAGTAATTCAGAACTGGTATTCTGTCTCATTTATACTGATCATTGCCTTTTCTTCTTTGTAGGGAGGATTTAGGATTTAGGTTTATTTCTGAACAGGTCAGTCATCACCCACCTATCAGTGCTTTTTATTCAGAAGGCTTAAACCAAGACTTCATTTTTCATGGATCAATTTACCCTAAACTGAAGTTCTGGGGGAAGAGTGTAGAAGCAGAGCCACGGGGAACAATAACATTGGAACTCCTAAAGTATGTATATATATTTTCTCTTGTTACCTATGTATGGCCTCCAAACTATCTCATGTAAATGCATAGTGTATTGTGATCTTTCTCTGGTTTGCATAGGCCTGTGAGCAGTTGAGCTTAGGTAATTTGAGGGGTTTTTTGCAGTGTGCTAGGAGATGAAACACATATACATAAATTACAGTGTGTGAATTGGTTGAGGCTTCTGCAGATGATGACACAATCACATGACTTCAACATTTGGGCCTCATTCCCTACCCCTCAACCCTTAGGCAGTTGGCATTTACTGAAAGAAAAAAAGTGAATTCTTCTGCTTCTTAAACTGTTATGAGATATGTGATCAAGAGCTCTGCTGTATTGTGGATGACACAAAGTTATCGCTGTCCTGGACTTGGATAACAACTGGTTCAAAATAGGCATCAATTGATTTAACAGTTTGGTGGTTTGCTTTGTTGAATATCAGTAAGAAAATACAAAGGACAAACAGATAAGTCTGAGCACTGCTGGGATACAAAAGATAATAAACTACTGAGATGCTTGACATACATGGAAAACAGAATTTAGAAATGATATTTTATGTAATAGCTAAAGTCAAAATAGAAAATATAGAAGAGCTTAAGAGCCAAACAGCAAGTATTTCTGTATAGAAATCTATTTGTCTCAAGAGCACATTTTACAGTTTAAGCATTCAATACTCAGATTTAAACCTTCACATGCTACCTGTATGTTGTTGCTGAAATCAATATTCCAGCCATATTTATTGATCTTTCACACACACATTGTGTGTGTGTGTGTGTGTTCAGGCTCTCCTAGTATTGAAGCTATTGCACCTGGCATTGCTGATAAAAGTTGCTTCTAGTCACGGAGGCTACCTGGGCCTCCAGTGACAAAGCTGCAACCAAAAGCACCCCTGCCCAGGGCAGGCAATTTGCCAGTTTCTCAGAATGAAGTTGTTGCACCATTTTGGAGGCATATTCCTCAGTATCAAAGGTCCACACTGCACATACAATCAAATGCATGTAACAGTAGCTCATGAGTCCATTTTAGATTACGAAAAGGTGCTTCCAGTGAAGGGACTAGGAAGTGATGAGGGGGTGGTTAACCCTTTCCTCATTCCATACTGTCCCCTCAATGCATCACACAGTTTTAAATTAACATGCATTTCAGAACCCAGGAGGGTAAATCTTGCAGGTGGAGATATTGAAATTGGGAAAGGCATGGGAGGAAAGAATTAAGAATTCTTTCTCCTTGCCACCTACCTGCTCTTGATTGTCCTCACAAGTAGTGATGTCTGTCATCTAAATGGGTATCTAAACTGCTATTATGTGCATAATATGTAACTTGGTGTAAAATTATGAGATCTTGAATTCAATTACTGCATGTTTAGAGGTGAAATTGCATGTTGATTACATTTAACATGCTTCAAGAGCTTTTAGTACTAGAAAAGAGAGAGATTTGACAGAAGTGCAAGACACCGGCGATAAACACCTTCGCAGAAATAATCATTTCTGTCTGCTGATTTAACTCAAGCTTCTTTTAGCAAGGGCTCTCAGCAGATACTACCCACATATTCAGATTATTAAGGAACTTCAAACAAGCCTCTTTTCTTTCATTCAATTGCTTATTCGCCTTCCATCTGTTCAGAACATTGCACAATTACAATGACTGAGGGTGAACATTGCAGAGACCGCTACAAAAACAGGAGCTGTTCATTGGAAAATGATCTGGAGCGCTTGGATTCTCTTTTCAGATTCTCTGCTTTTAGTGTCCCTGGTATCTGATTGGCCTTTCTTCTCTCCCCCACAGACATAATGAAGCTTACACATGGACTAATCCTACTTGCTGTGTACATAATGTAATTATTGGCCATCTCTGGATAGAACAGTATGGAACAGTAGAAATTATAAATCACAGGTATCCTTTATTTATTTTATTTCATTTGTATTCCCAACTCTTTACCTTCACGGAACTCAATTTTTGCCACTATGTGTCATTTAAAAACTGGAAAGTGGAACAGAGTACAGTGGTACCTCGGGTTACATACGCTTCAGGTTACAAACTCCGCTAACCCAGAAATAGTGCTTCAGGTTAAGAACTTTGCTTCAGGATGAGAACAGAAATCGTGCTGCAGCAGCAGGAGGCTTCAGGTTAAGAACAGTTTCAGGTTAAGAACGGACCTCCGGAACGAATTAAGTTCTTAACCCGAGGTACCACTGTACTCCTATCTTACAGTATGTATAGATTAATGAATTAAAATAAAATACTTCTAGCTCCATTAAGTGGCACAATTGTAATGAAGTCCAGTTTTCTTCTGGTCACTTGGGGAGCAGTTAAGTGATAATGATTTGAATGGGTGTGCACTATTATCTCCTTTGTGTTTGGTAGAGATGTTCCTGTGTATGAAAGATTTGTTGCTAATTTGGAGGTCCGTGTATGTGATCTGCTTCTGCTGGAATTTTTTTTCTGAGCATTACCTCCTTGACAATTTCGCCTGTATGGATTTTTATGTGGGGTCCAACCTCTCAAGCAAATATTTTTTGGCCCCCATGATGCCACTGACTTTTGCAGCAGTGGGTAAAAAAATAAAATTAACCTAGCACTGGGAAGGGTGGAGCCCAGTGCCCTAATGAGGAAGCAGATCACCCCCTATACCATTGTCAGATGGACCATTTGATGAGCTGAAAGGACCTTGCATTCCTTGGCTAATGTGCATGGATCTTCCGAGGAGCAGCTTGTGGTGTTGGTGTGTCCAGTATGTAGGTGTGTGAGAGAGAGTGGGGTGACCACACCCACCGCTGGGATGCAGCCCCCAGAGAGTTGGCCAAAGGAGAATGTGGCTCCCAGACCCAGTTATAAGCTTCCTGTCTTTCATAAAGAAGCCTGAAAGTTTGGTGCACTCTTCTTTGCTTATATTTCCCTTTTAATAGCTCTTGTACCAAACCTTCAGACGATGACTTAAATGTCATGGAGTTGAAATTCATGCCCAGGGGGAGCAATGGAGATCTGTTGCCATTTTTCACAAGACAGCAGCCACAATCCCTCTTGTACATGCATACCTTTCCATCCTTCCCCTTTCCTTTTTACTTGTACGGCATCACATTGTATCTTAAACCTGTTGTTGAAACTCTGCATGTATGGTTGTAGTGATCCCAACACAGTGACTACCGAAATCGTGCTGGTGTCAGGCAGAAGGCTTTTACAAGAACTTTGTGAGGATTCAACACCAAGGAATTAATCTGTTAACTACACTTTGTTTTCCTTTTGCAGTACTGGAGATAAATGTATCCTTAACTTTAAACCATGCGGTCTGTTTGGGAAAGAGCTTCACAGAATAGAGGGCTACATTCAGGACAAAAAGTAAGTCTACGTGCTTGTTTACGTGTTCAGGGATTGAGCTCAGTTGCCCTACTCTAGTTTGAGCTCGGCTAGAGGAAAATTTGAGAGGGAGTATGCAGACATACCTGGCCACAGAAGCTGATGTAAATCAAGCTTCTGTAATAAACATTTGTTTGAAGAATATGTTACTGACATCCTGGGTGGAAAATGTAAATATAAGGTTGCTTAGTAAACCTGCAATATTCCCTTCCCTTATTTTATTTTACCAGAAGATATAATCTTAGAGTGGAAGTTCAAGTTGAACTCTACAAAAAAAATACACCCTCGTATTGCTCTTTCCCCCCTGCAATTGTTTTGATCACTTCCTGTGTCCTGGTGGTGTCATATTGTTCATTTCCAACCCCGCCCCCATTTGTTGCCTTCTGATGGTGGGAAGGATAAATACACTTTTTGATGATATTGAGATGCAAGTGACTTATCTTCCATGTTACAGAGGAGCAACAGTGAGCTCAATAGGGTGTCATTTTTAGCAGCAGCTCCTTGCTGAGAGTAACATGCAGTTCTGCTCATAGTTTGGTCTGAACTAAATACAGTCTGGGCTTTAGTTATGTTCAGTGTTATTATTTTTCAAAATAAACAGTAAGAAGAAACTTGCAGTGATCTATGGCAAATGGACAGAATGTTTGTGGTGTGTTGATCCTTCCACTTACGAAAACTACAAGAAGAACGAGAGGAGAGGTGGTGACCAGAGGAAACCAAAGCCGGTAATGTTTGTTGATGTTGTGATGGCAGGAGGAGGACTTAAACTCTTAAACTTAAACTCTTCTACTTAAATGAGGTGTTCCTCAAAAAGGAAACATTGGAAGGAACCAAACTGATGCAGTATTAGGTGGACTGAGTAAAGCTTATACTTGATTATCTTTGTGACAAGGGTCCAGATCTTCCAAATTATAGTGTTTTGTGAACTCCCACAGACTTCAGTATCTGCCTGGAATGAGCATTAGGAGAAGCTGCTGTCCAAGTTTAATCACATCTTATCGTCTTCACATTAGATTGTTAAAAATGAGAATGCTACTGATGCGTTGGGGTTTTTTAGCTGTAAAGCTGTAAATTGAGGCTATGCTGTTCTGCGACATTTTCTGTTTGGGCATATAATAAACCCTTTAATAGAGCCCCTCTGTGAGCAATCTCAGGTTTTCATTTTGTCTCCCGCTTCTTCTGTACTCTGTGGATTGTAAATCTCCTGGGATCAAGAGCTAGATTTTAATGTACCAATATCCAATCTCCTTTCTTGATGTATTTGTGTTTTGGGAGTTATTACCTGTTATTTCAAGAGGAGCCCATTCTTGGGCCTCAGCTTACATACGGTTCTTGGGGGGAAATGACTATTTGATTGTTTGTATGAACAAAAACAGAAGAAAAGAGAATAGAAGCTGGAATAGAATATAAAAGGAGCAATGAATAGGGTTGTTCACAGCCCCCATCCCAACTTGTCCTGGAGTCCTGATTTGGGGCACCAGATCACCACCTACCTGGGGAACACCTGGGAATCTGGCCCCAAATCAATTCAGAGGCAGGGCATATTTTCAGTTAGGATTATTTTACATCTTTCCTTTTTAAAAACAAAACAAAAACAAAACCTAATTAACCATATGCTGCATGTAGGGGGAAGAAGAGGCTGTGTCTTGTCCTTCCCTGGCCTTGCTCTATATCACATTTAATCAGGATTTAAAGCCCTGATAAAGCATGAGAATCAAGAGGGGGGGGCAGGAGAAGAGATGCTGTGTCCTTTTGAACTTGACATACTTCTTACTTTCCCTGAACTATGTCTTTGTTTCAAGAGTGATGATCCTGATAATGATGAAGCAGATGATATGCCAGAGATCCAAGAGACTGTGCAAGTTGTACCTGGCAGTAAGCTACTTTGGAGGATAAGCACTAGACCACCAAATTCATCCCAGGTAAGTTGCTTATTAATTGGTATATTGGGGGCAGGGACATAATTCAAAAGACCTGGTTCAAGTAAGGTGACTAATCACACTACAGTAATCAGACCAAAGGTCTATCTAGTCTAGCATTCAGCACTCATAGCAATCAGCCACATGCCTGCTGTAAGAATTTGTGTGTGTGTGTGTGTGTGTGTGTGTGAGAGAGAGAGAGAGAGAGAGAGAGAAGAGTGAAAGAGAACAAACTTTTTGTTACTCTTGAGCTCTGCTACAACCAAATGAGAGAGAATCTATCTTGACCTTTGGACTCTGTATTCTTACTATTAATAGTGTTGTTATTAGATGTTTTGTTTTGCCTATCATGGAAGGTTTAAGGAACACCAGGTAGAGATGGTTACCAGTACTCTTTTATATTACATTGAAAGTGTGGGAATTATAGGGGGAAAGGAAACTCTGTGGTCATTCCAAGCTGTAAGCAGTTGCCATGCTGCCTATTGATGTACCCACATAATATATGTGGCTCAACCTGCCTCAAGATTATTTTTTCACTATCTGTACTTTTTTCCTGTTTGGCCATAATGAGGATTGGTAGTACTATGGCAGAATGAGAGAGATAACTGAAATTCTGCTGATTTAAATTTGGTTATTAGACACAAGCTTTTCCAAAATGCCATAATGCATAAGCATATTCTTCAGTTGTGCAAAAATGCTGTGGCAGGTCGCCAAAGACAGTATTTCCAGCCTCAAAAAGTATTCCACAGCAACCAAACAGTATTGATCTCCAATACTGATATTTCACTTTGATGGTCTGTTCTTGCATCATCTCTGTACAAAACACAATAGAAAACTCCCTGTTTTTTGGACTGTTTCCTGTGCTCGTTCCCTGTAGCAGGGCAGACATCTCTAATATTGATGATTAATCCACATTTTGTGCTTGTGGACTGAAAGGATTCCATTTGGCTGCTGCGTGTTTTTCAATGGCAGGACTGTTGTTAATGGGCTTCCTTTTGTGCTGCTTTTGCTGTTATGAGAGATGTGAATTTGCCCCCCCCCCAAATAGAGATGACCTCTTCCAGGTCATTCTCACATTGCTTCTGTTCTGTGTTTCATCATCTCTGATTGCCTTGCCATCTCTGTGTTCTTGGGCAGACGTTGCTTATGATTCTATCGGAGGTGTTTTTGATTTTTGGGTTGCTTTTTTTGGCAGATTCAGTGTTCAACCAGTTCATACAGGACTCGGACAATAGCAGTTTCTCCTAGCATAGTAGGCTGCAGTCCTAACTCCACTTACCTGAGTATAACCCCCATTTTATGAAACAAGACTTACCTCTGAGTTAGGTTAGGATTGTGCTGTTAGCTCTCTGATAAAAGTAGGCCCTCTGAGGAAGCATAGCACATTTTGGAATGAAGTATATATAGGATTTAAAAGCAATGCTGTCTTCTTTGCCCCATAGCAGCTAATAGCAGTTTCCAGTGAGGGGAGGGGGAGAGAATCACGTTGCATGAAAGGCTAAAGCACTTCTTCCTCCAGTGCTTCCCCTGAGGGGATATCTCCACCCAAAGCACTCACTGTTACTTTGTTTAGGAGGAAGGCTTGCTCGCTTATCTCTGCATAGCACTGGTGGGTAATGCCATAGCACATCTTTATAGGATGCAAATGTCAATGCACCCTGACAATATAAACACATTTTTGTTTTCGTTCAAGATGTACAATTTCACCAATTTTGCCGTCAGTCTCAACGAACTAGAAAAAGGCATGGAAGAAGTGTTGGCTCCCACTGACTGTCGATTGAGGCCAGACATCAGACACATGGAGAGTGGAGAAATTGGTATGTGTAAATGGGTGGGTTTTAGGAGTGGGCCTGCCGGCCTGCCTGCCCATGCAGAGTAGAAATCCCAAGCATTATATTCTGCCATTTTGCATGCCTCTTTCCTCTCATTTATGTTAATGCAGAAATTTATAGCCTGCCCTTCAGTAAGTTCCCAAGGCAGGTGGATGGTAGAATGGGCCTCTGGGGGGCGGGGAAGTAGTCACCCACGTAACTGCCTATGGACTACTTAAAGCTTCAGGTTTCACATAATATAATAAAACTGCAAATTATAAAATGATACTCTGGAACAGCTCCCTTTTGGCTTAATTCCAGCCACCCTTCATCTAGTGATCAGGCTGCAGTGCTTTCTCTTTGATTCAGACCTGACAGTTGTGCCTTTGTAATCTTGGAGTTATGCTGCTGTGTTACTTTTTAGTAGAGCTGCTTTGGTGAATGGGAGGGTGCAGCTGTTAATGGATTGCGGTGCTTTGCTTCCTGCTGGCAGACCCCTCACAATTATGGGATTTGCCTTTCTGGGCAACTTGCTAAAATCAAAGTCTGGGCATCTTTCAGTGACCAAGTTTAAGGTGGTGGTCCGAGTAGAATGAGTAAAAATTGCTTTGTGTTGTGAGCTTTCCTTAAATGTGTTCTTAAAACTATCTGGATTTTGTTTCTCTACCTTCCATTCCTATGTACTTTTTCTCCTTATTTTATAAAGTAATCAGTCCCTATTAAAATGTCTGTTAGATCTGGCTAGCAAAGAGAAAGAGAGACTAGAAGAGAAGCAGAGAGCTGCTCGTAAGGAACGTGCAAAAGATGAAGCTGAATGGAGAACAAGGTAACTAATGGTGGAAACGAAACTGGCTGTGCAGTTAGGCTGTTTGCAGTTATGGCCATATGAAGATTACCACAAGTGCATGTTTGTTGGTAACATGCTTACTCTGAGGAGGGAGGCTCTTTGTGTGAACAGAGAAACTAGATGAGGTTGGTATATGGATCAAAGTAGTGTAGAATCGGTTTGTACAGTCTTTTTCCTCCTCAGAAATCCCTGTGCCTTCTTAATTAGCAGTAGAGAGAAGCAGTGCAGCCTTTTCTGGTACTACTACAGCAGTGTGCTCAATAAGTATTATTAATACTAATGTTAATAGTGCTGGCAACTGACCTAATGCTCAGATGGGTTGCTGAGGGGGGAACTGGGTGGGAACCTGCAAGTTCTCCTTAAAGCCAGTGAAGGGTCATAACTCTTTACCCTGGCATTTTACACTAGGTAGATAGGACCCACTCTAGTTGTGATTGTGATTTGTTTCAATGCTGTATTTTATATTGCTGTAACCCACACGGGGACCTTTTGGTGATGGGCGAGTAATAACTCTAATCATACTCCAGTGACAGAGGCCATGTTTCTCTGGCAGGTTAAGGTATGGCTGTGGGACCCTCCAGACTGGAGCATTTGTGTGGGTGTGTTCTGTGACACATCATTCACACAGTAATGGTGCATTAGCTGCAGATTTATGCTGGACCATCTGCACTCTTGCATTATAGTGCAACAAAAGCAGGCAAAATGAAGTAAGGCGGAACCATAAAAGTTACAGAATTTCCTTGAGGCATTTATAGGTCAAAAGTAGCACTTTGAATTGAGCCTGGAGACTAAGAGTGTAGTCATGCTAGAATTGGTTTTATATGCTTGGACTATCTTGCTCCAGTCGGCAATCTGGATGCTGAATTCTGCAACAGCTGCAGTTTCCAAACCATCTTCAAAGGCAGCTTTATATATAACGCATTACAGTCATTTAGCTTGGAGGTTACCAGACCTTAGGCAACAGAGATTAGGCTTTATTAATGTATTTTACAGTTGCACCTAACATTTCTCCAACCCACTGTCTTCCTTTTTTCCACAGATGGTTTTATCAGGGCACCAATCCATACCTTGGGACTCCTGACTGGTTATACTCAGGAGGGTACTTTGATAGAAACTTCTTTGACTGTCCAGATATATACTGAAATCTTGAATGCAGTTGCTCCTTTGCCCAGGTTCGGCAGACTTTACTCCAGTGACTCTGGCTCCGCCATGACCAGAAACCATCCTTTTTCTAAAGCTAAATTTTAATGAAAATTATCAGTCATCAATGAAGGAATTGTCACAATTTTGATTGCCAAAATGTCCCCCTAAAGCTGCAACCTGAAATTATCATGTTTCAGAGGAAAGTGGTTTGCACGTTTTTGTTTGCTTCCCCCTTATTTGTCATTTTATTTTTGGCCAGAACTAACGCAGTGTAGCCAGAGGGGAGGCAGTACTGACTCCCAACGTGTAACTTCTTAAATAAAGATGATAGCCAAGGAATTTCTTAAGTGTCAGCAGTAAGAGATGCCTATTAAGTATTCTGAACTTGGAGCAACAATGGTGAATCGGTACGACAGAAATATGCTTGAGGCCATTGGAAAGGTATCTAATGAGAATCGGAGCAACTGGAATTCTTGGGAGTCTTCTGAATCGCCTGTAATTTTAAAAGTTTGACAAATATAGCATTAGGCTTAACTTGCAGTTTCGGAAGCTGTTACTCTGTTCTGCCTCAATTTTAGGGCACTGTGATTATCAATGAAATGAAGTACCTGTGATTCCCCCGCTCCCCCAAACAAACTTCTGCATTGAATGTTGGGCATGGTTTGTAGGTGTTCATAGCAGGCACTTCCTTGTTTGAAGTTTCAGAATGTTTTGCTTTTAAAACACATGACACTTTGGAAATATTTATAGGACCAGGGTGCTTTGTGTGTAACATGTAAGAAACAACATTTTTGCTTCTGTTCAGACATACCTGCTTTGGCAGGTTGACATTATTCAGGATTTTTAGGCGTATTTACAAACACACACTCCTTTCTCTTTGGATTTACTTGGAATGTATCTTCAAAAAGGTCATGATTTGGTGTGGTTTTTTTAATGCTTGTTCTGAAGCACTGACTGTGTCAGGACTGATTCTTGAAAAGCAATTCCTTCTTGCTACCTTTTGGCTAAAGCTGGATTATTTAACGGAAGCTTTCATTGAACTTTATTGAGAGTGGATTTATTTTTGCAGATTTAAACTTTGGGAAAGCCATATAACCCCTGAGCTATTTGAGTCATGGATGGGGGGGTGTTTTTCTGGTTATTTATACATTTCCTAGAAGTCAGGTAAACATTACTGACTACCTGTGGGCTTGAAGAAAAATCAGGTGGGCAATTCACCCATTTTAAAACATTTTCAAAAACAAATGGTTAAATTTGTGAAATCTATGAAATTAGAGAGAAGCTCCTTGTGAAATTCACTGAAATTACTGACATCAGGAGGGGTTGCAAGGACAATTTAGTGATCAATTATGTGGATATAATATGAGGGGCTATAGCATTTTGGCTATTCTAGATTTACCACTTTATATATTTAAGGTGTCCAATCTGCTTTTCACATATATTTTGAAGCATCATACTTGCAGATGTCAACCCAAGACCTGAAATTTGAAGTGCATCTAAAGAAGTAAAGCTTTAGAGACTTTTATTTAAAAAACAGCTGTTGGGATTGCATAGCTATTTTGTTGCAGTGCCCATGGAGCAGGAAAATTTGACTGCAGCATTATTTTAGTCACATTACATTAATATTTCCAGTAAAGAAGTTCCCATGAAAGCATTCAAGGCAATAAAAGACACTACTGAGAGAACCGTCTTTGACTAGCGTGCCTTGTTTTTAGCACTAAACTTGATGTTGTCCTTGGGCATTAATCTGCCAAGTATTGCAGCTTCACGTTCTTTATTTCAGCAGGGCTTAAAACATATGGAGAATGCCCTTCCCTCAGGTCACCTGGACCACCTATTTCCCATTTCCCCTTGCAATGAATGAATACCACCTGCTTCCTAATACTATGTTAATTGTTCATGAACAATTAATGTGTTGCTCATATTGTGCCCAGCATTTGTCCCAGTCTTGACAGCATTGAGCTTTTTGTTTTGTCTCCCTTTTCCCAACAGATAGCTGGCAGGAAGGAGGGAGGGAAGATGCCCACATTCAATTTCTCTCTCCTCTCTTCTGGCCAATGGTAGAGGAAAATGAATTTTAAGCCAATATCTTTATTTTTAAAAAGTTACAGCTACTCCCACCTTGTGTATATAGACAAGTTGTGGCATGCTACACTAATGCTTGCAAGGATTACTTTTAATTTTGAATTGCAGAAGAAATGCAGTTGCCCCAGCTTAAAGTTTAAAAATAAGTTGGCAAGGGATATTTTTGCATCTCAAGATGAGAAACGTTCTCCAGTTTTTAAATATGTAACTGTTTAAAATCCATTCTTTATTTCCATTAGTATGCTCAATTTGATTTTTTATTTTTAAGGGAATAATTTCCATTACTTTCATTCTGCATTTGGTATACGTACATGTAAGTCATGCGTACAGATTAGACCTCCTGCCCATCTATCCCAGGTACACTCCTGACCACAATGGTGGTGCCTGCACAGATCCATTTAACACATAGTGGGAAGAAAAGTCGGTAGGAAGAAAAGAGGAAGTCTGAGCTGCCACCTATCCTGGAGAAAATAGTGGGAGGTTTAGTTTAGCAATTGCTACTCTGTAAATGATGAATTGCACTGAAAATGTTTGTTTATAAAACTGCAAACACATTCTCCCGCTTTTGTCTTTAATTTCTAACCTGCCTATTGCTAGGTCAGGAATTTATATAAATATAATGCACGAGGATAGATTCTGATTAAAATACACACTAAAGTTTGAGGCCCTTAAAAGCTTTAACTGTAATATTAAATTGTCTTTTAAAGAAAAAAAGATAGTCACCTAGCTTGTTTACATTTAACCTGCACTTGTTATTGGTACCACCTCCATAACTTAAGCACTGCCTTACAAAGTTGACCATTTGACACCTCCATGCGAAAAAGCACTTTTGAAATTAATTATGTTAAATGTTAAGGTAGATTTTAACTTAAAGCAAATATTTTTTGTGGAGTTACTTATTTTTCTGGCTGCTCACTTTCCGTTGTATTGGTTTGAATTGTGGCTTGTGCACACATTAGCCCTGCTGGTCGGTATCCCCAGGCTTTGATGTGCAGATGGTTGCCTTTCTAAAGAAGGGCTTCCTTGCTGCTGCTGCTGCTTCAGTGTTGGCGAGAATGCGACATGCACACCCCTAACGCTTGTATGAAGCTGTCAGTTAACACTGAAGTAAACAGGGATGCTCTGCTGGCGCAAGGCTGCCTGTGCACATAATAGCTCTGTGGGCCTTCGGTTGGGGTCGTTGCTTTTCCTCTTGCTGTACCCGAAGGTAGCTGTGTTTACTTTGAATTACTTTTAATTAGAAGCAAGAATGGTAACACTAGACTACCTTTGGCATAGCACGATGGCAGTAGAGCATTAATCTTGGATAAAGCCAATTGCCAAGGGATAAATTCTGCAGAAATATAATGTGTCCACAAACCTCTGATAGTCTTCACCCGCTCCCACATCCATTTCCACACAGTAGAATTGGCTACATTATTATTTTAACTGATTTGGCTGGATGCCAGACTTGCATGACACTATGAATAACTTGAGTCCTCTGGCAGGATGACATTGACTGGAAGGTATAGATACTTTTTTATTTTAAAGGAAAAAAATATTCGAGATCCTGCTAAGAAAGTATTTGTTTTACCTTCTGGCTCTGAAAATGAAACTAACTCTGGAAAGTGCACCTTCCTGATAGATTGAGCTTGGTAAAACTTTTATTTTCACCAAGATATATAAGTATAATTGGGTTTGTAGCTGTTGCACCTTGCCTACAATTTGGGATGGATCATAACAACGTACAGCTGCAACCATTTATTTTGCCTTATGCTACATTTACTAATCCATGGCACGGATTAAGAGATGAACCATGATTAGATTAAAATCTCCACACAATTGCATTTGCAGTCACATCTATTTTTTTTTTGAAGTGAGTAATCATAAATTAATGAGCACGTACATGAGCCACAAACATGTTTCATTAGAATTTTGATACAATTTTTGCTTCCAAGGGTTCCATCCCAAATCTACAAAGGTTGCAAGAGGCTTCAGATCACAAACTGTAATATTCAGGTAGCTTGTGATTCTAAAAAACTTAATAAAAACTTTGTGATGTAATCATGCAAACAGTCAGGTGCCTAGTGTGGTCTTTAATCTTTCTCCTGTTTACTGTATTCTGTATTTTAATGTTGCAGATAAAATGTAGCTGTTCCTGTTTATGTAGTGTTTTAATTCTTAAATTAATTTGATAATGTACTGTAATGTTGCCTCTCAAAATACACATGTGCTTTCGGGTTAATTGTAAAATAAAGCAATATTTAAATTTATGTAAAGCTAACAGTTCTAACACAGAAAAATTGATTTTTTAGTATGATTTTTATAGCATGGAAAAATTAAACTATATATATATATATTTCCCCTTTCCCAGTCCACTCTCTGCTGCTGCTGCTATTGCTGTTCTATTTTGCCTTACTTATTTTGCTGTATCCCTCTTAATGATTATTTACATACCTGGCACAGTCTACTTGGAATTTCTGTCAGCCAAACCTCATTTGAAACAAAACGGGCTTGCAAGAGAGCATTTCGCTGCTCCAGTTGTGCATGGTGTGCGCAAATGCAACTCCAAGTCACTTCAATGGGGTTTGCGCTGGTGAGCAGTTCCTGGCAGATTGTGCCCACTGTATTTTTTTGCCTTATCCACGTTGCATGAAAACATCAGAGGATAATAATAATAATAATAATAATAATAATAAATAAGAGGCTTTAGTGAAATGGATTTATTTTTATAATATTTAATAACTGTCAATACCCATCTATATTAACTATATAAAAAATCATATTTACCTTTTTAGAGAAGTCTGTACAGGTTTGTGGACATAAATGTTAAAACTGTAAATCTGAATAAAGGTTGTTTTGGAGAAGACAAGTTACTTCCAACTCTTGTTTTGTCATTGATTCTTAGCAGGGTTCCTCTCCTCCCCCGACTCTGACTCATTTGACAAATATTATTCCCAGATATTTATTTCAAAATAAGAGCTGATAACACCTTTGCTGCATTGACCCAGCTGGAGTGGATGAAGCTCTGCTCAGTGCCAGCCCAGTAACCCTTTCCTTCTTGAATTAGACCCCCAATGGCACCCCCCTCCCCACTACAGTGGTGCCTCGCAAGACGAAAAGAATCCGTTCCGCGATTCTCTTCGTCTAGCGGTTTTTTCGTCTTGCGAAGCAAGCCCATTGACAGCTTAGCGGATTAGTGGTACCTTGGTTCTCGAACTTAATCTCTTTGACTTCCGAAACCATTCAAAAACCAAGGTGCGGCTTCCGATTGGCTGCAGACGCTTCCTGGACTCAAGCAGAACCCACGTCGGACGTTCAGCAAACATTCGCAAACCGGAACACTTACTTCCAGGTATGCAGTGTTCGGGAGCTGATCTGTTTGACAACTAAGTTGTTTGGGAACCAAGGTACCACTGTAATATATTAACATATAACTTCTCTCAACATACATGCCAACTGAAGGGAGTGTCTCTCAGCTTGTGCAGATTGAACTCTCCTCCCTTATCCAGCAACCAGCCCTCACACCTCTGACCTTGTTTTCAGAGAGGTTTACAGCCAAGCTGGACGATATATTGATATATTGACCAAAACCAGTTTGAAATCCATCTCTTGATATCGGTTTCATAATTTTTGACCTGGCAGTATATTGCGAATCATGATGTGTGTGTGTGTGTGTGTGTGTGTGTGATGCAAAAATCACAATGTGGGAAAACCCATGAAGCCAGGCAATGCCTCTGCATAGCTCCATCCTTATTCCAGACATTGTGATATATCAGAATATTGCAGTGTTTAGCAGTTGAGAACCAGACATTGCCCAGTCCTGTGCCACACCATGGCTCTGTTGTTAACAAAAAAAGGGAGGGAGGGGAAATAAATTACTCTGCGTTCCTAGGGCAATGGCCCATCTATTCCAGTATCCCGTTCTAACAGTGGCCAGCCAGATCCTCGTGGGAAACCAGAGAGCAGAACATGAGCACAACAGCTCTTTCACCTCCTCTGGTTTCCAGCAACTGGTATTCAATGTGAGCAATAGTCTTCATGGCTAATAGCCACTGATTGACTTATCCTCCATGGATTTGTCAAACCCTCTTTTAAAGCTACCCAAGTCAGTGGCCACCACTGCTTCTTGCGGCAGAGAGTTCTACAGATTAAACAACTTTCTGCTTGAAGTACTTTCTTTCATCTGTGCTAAACCTTCCAGCATTCAGCTTCAGTGGATGCTCACGAGTTCTAGTGTTGTGTGAGAAGAAAACCTTTACCCGCTTTCTGCACGCCACACATAATTTTACACTCCTAAGTGATGAATATTCGATTTATGAATCACTCCCCATATATTATTGTTGCTGTTTAGTCGTTTAGTTGTTTCCGACTCTTTGTGACCCCATGGACCAGAGCATGCCAGGCACTCCTGTCTTCCACTGCCTCCCGCAGTTTGCTCAAACTCATGCTGGTAGCTTCGAGAACACTTTCCAACCATCTCGTCCTCTGTCGTCCCCTTCTCCTTGTGCCCTCCATCTTTCCCAACATCAGGGTCTTTTCCAGGGAGTCTTCTCTTCTCATGAGGTGGCCAAAGTATTGGAGCCTCAGCTTCAGGATCTGTCCTTCCAGTGAGCACTCAGGGCTGATTTCCTTCAGAATGGAGAGGTTTGATCTTCTTGCAGTCCATGGGACTCTCAAGAGTCTTCCTCCAGCACCATAATTCAAAAGCATCAATTCTTCAGCCATCAGCCTTCTTTATGGTCCAGCTCTCACTTCCTTACATCACTACTGGGAAAACCATGGCTTTTAACTATACGGACCTTTGTCGGCAAGGTGATGTCTCTGCTTTTTAAGATGCTGTCTAGGTTGGTCATTGTTTTTCCCCCAAGAAGCAGGCGTCTTTTAATTTCGTGGCTGCTGTCACCATCTCGAGTGATCATGGAGCCCAAGAAAGTAAAATCTCTCACTGCCTCCATTTCTTCCCCTTCTATTTGCCAGGAGCTGATGGGACCAGTGGCCCATATATAAAACACCCCAAAGCGAACCCTAGAGAAAGTCAATTTTAAAAATAATTATAATTTTGCCCTCTCTCATATAGCCTGAGGAAGCAGCTGGCTGCCTCTCGGCCCCTTTATCGCACCCAACCCAACCCAGCACCGCGCAAGCTTGCGGGCTCCACAGAGCTCTTCATCCTCAGCTCCCGCAAAACGGCGCAATCCCCATGCAGTTCCAACGCGCGCCGCTAGAGGCCGCGCCCTCCCTCCCCGCCCGGCCGACATGACACAGCACAATAGCCGGCAGGCGGGGCGGAGGCCGCGGTGCACGACGGGGGCTTGTTGGCGAGCGGCGTTCCTTCCGAGTGGCAGGCCCTTCCGGCCTGCGCGGGCGCGGCGGGGGAGGAGCCAGCCTCCCAGCCAATGGGAGATGGCGGTGGAGAGTGGGCGAAGGGAAGAGGGCGGGCTTCCGGCGTGACGAGCAAAAGGCTACCCCTCCCCCCCGCTTCCCTTATCCGGCCGGAAGTGCGGTAGCGTCTGAGGGGGGAGAGCGAACACGGGGCGGGCGACAGTGGGGCGAACTGAGGCGGCAGGTAATTTTCGGGGCGGGATTCGGGTGTGTGTGAGGAAGCCTGGAGGTCGCAACCACCGGGGGGGGGGAGTAAGGGGGGTGCCAATTAGGGAAGAGTGGGGGGAGGGGTCCTCGCGTGTGAGGCCGAGAGAGAGAGGCGCCCTTGAATTGACGGCGGTGGGGGAGGCGGCGGCTAAAGGGGGGAGACTCGCCCCGTCGCTGAATGTTCATTCTTGTCCCAACTTCAACAAGTCCCTGAGGAGGGGGGGGAAGCAGACGTGAGACCGCATTCGCACGTGGGGGAGGAGGAGGGGGGGCGTAACGTACCCCCCCCCCCGGCCTAGCTTCCAAGGCATACCGTTTATAAATTTGACTAAGTTCAGTGGGGAACAGCAGCCAAACGCCGCAGCTTAAAAGGGTGCCAGGATGTTCCCGCATTGCAGGGGGTTGGGCTAGATGACCCTCGGCGTGTGCGGGTGCCCCTTTCCACTCTGCAGTTCTTGCACTGCCCGTTTCTGGGGTATGTCACTCCTATGTCCCTGCTTCCCTCCCGGTTTTTTTCTTGGTCGTCCGTTCCACGCACTCCCAAGAACAAAAGGACACTGGTTTCTGGTGTCGTTATTAGTATTATTTTTAGTCAACCTTTTTACTTGCTTGCCACCCGAAGGTCTGCAAGCAACTTGCAGCAAAGGGAAAATACACAGTACATGATACCACTTGCCCACCCTATTGCTGTGTGTTTAATTGGCAAAGCACTTCATTTTGCAAATTGGAACCTATAATTACTTTGCTTGCTGTTTGTTCTCCCGTGTACCATTTTTAGAAAGTTGGGGAGGTGACCTGTGTTGTTTACATGGAGTGTTTACATTCCATGGTGTGATAAACTTCAGCATAACTACCTACTCAGGCTGGACAATGTCAGTGGCTAAATTGGTGTTTGAACTTAAGATCTACAAATATCAAAACTAGTAGTAATGATAGGATTCAAGGGTTGCCATCCCTTAAATTTGCCTGGTGACCCTAATCCTCAAAACAGTACAGCCCCACAATTGATATCCTTTAATATGGTGCTGTTCTCAAACTTTACAGATGCCCTGCTTTATATTTAACAGTTGCTTCTCACTGTGTCCATTTCCCAAACTTGGAAGTTTGCAAGGCTGTGTATTATGAACTGGTAGACCTATAATAGTTCTTTTCCTTAGCCATTCACAAATATTTGGGCTTGTTCCAAATATTTAGTATATTGTTTGTTCAGAGGTGGGAAACTGTTGTCCTCTAGCTGTTAGATTTGAACACTCATCAGCTGTAGCCATCTTGGCCAGTGGTTAGAGATGTTAGGGATTATAGTCCCAACAGCTTCCCGACAGGTGACATGGTAATTGGCTGGGATTCCAAAATCTGGTAGTTTATTCATGCTGTTTAGCTAGGAATCAGCCATGTGAGCTTCAAAAATATGAGGGTGGTGGAAATATTACATTGTTCTTATGATAATCATTTTAACGTGAACGTATTTGTAATGATGCAAGGAAATTAGAGTGATAACAGGTGCCTTTAGTCTCTGTGACATAGTTCTTGGGTGGAGCAGTAATTCTCAAAGAGTGTGGCAGGAGAGGATTGCAAGTGTGGCAGGAAGATTCAAGGACAGTCTAATAAACATTTAAACATTTCAGTGAAGTATAGTATCAAAACAATTTGTTTGCAGAATATGGATAGATAGATAGAATATGAATAGATAAGTGATGCTGAGGACAATCCTAGTAGCGTTTTCCAATGTATTTCTTACCAATTAAAAAATCAATGTGGCACAAGCAAATTTTTATTCTGAAAGTATGGTCCAGAGAAAAAAGTTTGAGAACCACTAGTACAGTGTTTATTTCAGAATGCATGGTGCCTTAATGCTCTAAAGAGCGCTAACATTCAGTATGCTTTGTGTCAGTAGAATTAATAAAATGGTCTTCCTACTCCAAGATGCGGTTGGCAACTTATTTCCCCTCATTGAGGAAGCAGAAGTACCTACGGTAGCTGTGTTTGTAACCATGGTTTGTTCAACAAATCATGAGATGGCTCATTGCCAAGCAAGCAAGCCACAGTTTTGTTTCTCCCAGGCTTGATTTGTTTTCCAGCAGCTGTTGCCTTGTGTCTCTGTAGTTTGGCGAGTGTCTGGTATGGAGTGACTAAACAATTCATGGTTTTGAGATGCTATGGACTGTTATACCCCCCACCAGAAGACTATATTTCTTTGTCCGGGATTGTGTTTTACCTCTTTTCTCCAGCTATGTTGATGACAGAGTCTTTATAACTCTGCTCAAATTTCTTTCATGATGCTTGTGTTCTCTTGCATCACTTGTTGTTGCTCATGGGTCACCTGATACACTCCGAAGTGCTGCTGTCATAAATGCCTTGTGGTATGGCCTGGGGCCACAAGCTGACCTGGGAGTTCTTGGCTTTTTTGAGGAAGAATGGATTTGAAAAGTTAGCAATAGCCAGCAAAAAATCAATTTCACTTGAGAGATCCTGTAGCAGTAAGTTAAGAGCTGAAGAACCTTTGTCAGGAAACAAACGCCTGAATGCAAGAGGGGTTTGCCTCTTGGGTACAATCTGATTCATTTCACCAGAATTCTTTAGCTGCTGTTCACTCCCTAGAGACTCAAGTTCTCAGTAGCTCTTTATAAGAATGATGAGAAGTCTGACTTGAAGAAAAGCCACAGCTAGGCAACGATGCTTTTCCTGGTTTGGAGAGGACAATGGTGCTACAGGACTTCTTGGCGCTCTGAGCACAGGAGTACTGTTATCATTGGTGAGTATTGCTTCAGTAACTGTTGCACAAATAGCTGTTCTTTTTGGACTGTGTCATCTCCTGGCATGGCATATATGTGTGCACAAAAGGCTAATTCTAGCTGATTGCTAATTCCCTAAAGAATCTACTTTCAATAATACTCCTTAGTTTGTTATCTGTATTGTTACATTTTATATCCCACCTTTCCTCCAAGGATCTCAAGGTAGCATACATGGTTTTCTTCCTCCTCATTTTATTCTCAGAACAGCCCTGTGAGGTAGGTTAGGCTGACAGGCAGTGACTGACCCAAGTCACCCATATTTTGATTTAGCTATTAAACTGCTAGTGCTATTCACTGAAGTGCATTCTAGCTGTTGTTTTTTAAAATGCTTTTTATACTTTCTGCTTTGGAAAAGTAGTTTACACTCTTTAAAAAAGTACAAGGAGAAGTCTGCTGATCATCCTCAAAATAGGCCCCTGTTTTCCCATCAGGTCTGATGTAAATGAGCCTCTAAGCTGTTCTGAAGGTGCTCCAAGTCCTCAGCTTTGCTTTTACTCCCCAAGTTGCTAGTATTTTCAGGGATCTAGTGATAGTTAGCTGTTAGTTCTACGTATCTATTCTTTAAGTTGGTGGTACTTTTTCAGTTGGCGCACTATAGTAATGGTTTTCTAACTCTTCTGTTTTCAGATTCTGCATAAATATCTCTCAAAGCATTCTGACTCCGGAAGCTCCCTTCAATCATTGCTTGTTCCCATAACCAGACGGCTTTTGATCCTTGATGCTATTCTGACCCAAGCCCTGTCAAGTGCTTACCAAAGATCAGAGGAAGGTTGGAGAGTTGGTACTAGAGATCTGAGTGAAGAGGCTGTTTTTCAGTTTGCAAAGCACAGAGAGAGGAAGAATTATCTGCAGGACTTGAATGAAGATGATCATTACTGCTGAGATGCTTGAACTGTTGCTCCTGTACAAACATTGTCCACCCCTGCCTGTAAATGGAAAGGATACTGTGATTGATTCAACACACCCAGGGAGTCTGCTTATTCAGGGTGTACAGGAGTTCTGGCTTGGCCCTGCCCATTTAGGTTGTCAGATTGGTGCTCTTTAAGTTACCTTTAAAAGACTGAATTCTCAAAACCCATTGCTCTTCTGGGCCATAGCTCTGGATTTGGGCACTGGTAGAACACTTGTATATTTGAAAGAGAAAACTTGCTTATTATGAAATATTATCTCTTTCCAGGATGTCTTCTGGTGCTTTATTTCCAAGTCTGGTGCCAGGCTCCCGGGGCTCATCTAGCAAATACTTGGTAGAGTTCCGTGCGGGAAAGATGTCTTTGAAAGGCAGCACTGTTACACCAGACAAGAGGAAAGGTCTCGTATATATCCAGCAAACGGATGATTCCCTCATTCACTTCTGTTGGAAAGACAGGACTTCAGGGAACGTGGAGGATGTAAGTAGAATGCTGCAGCCTAAAGGTGTATGCATTGATTTAATGCAGCTTCGTGTTTAAAATCAATGTACGTAAGAGAGTGTTAAAAGACATTTATGTACTAGATTGAGGTCTGTGGTTTGAAGAAACGGGTTTCTTTCTTCCCTGGCCACCTGACATGTATCTCAAGTGTGTGTGGAATTTGTGCATCTTGTAAGAAAAAGATAAGCATGTTCCCTAGAGGCAGGCATAACATGTGCATCTATGTAACTCCCCATAGCTTGCAAAGCCACCCCTGTAAGCTTGTCATGGGAGAGACTTTCAACTGCAGCCTGACTGAGAAAGTGCTTAGTGATCTCTTGCTTATTGTAATGCACTTGCATAGTTTTGTTTGGAAAGTAAAGAATAATTTGTTGTCATCTTCTTCCACTCCAGGACTTGATTATTTTCCCTGATGACTGTGAATTTAAGAGGGTGCCTCAGTGCACTACAGGCCGCGTTTATGTGTTGAAATTCAAAGCTGGATCCAAGCGGCTCTTCTTCTGGATGCAGGTTTGTGGCTGTTAGCAGATGAAGGGGAAACGAGGCATAAGTGATGCTAGTTGTTGCTGTGTAACGTTGAAGCTGTGGATTAGACATCTGTCATGGAGTGCAAAAATGCTTTTTTCTTCCTCTCCCGGCAGGAGCCCAAGACTGAGAAAGATGAGGAGCACTGCCGTAAGGTGAATGAGTATCTCAACAACCCACCAATGCCTGGAGCTCTGGGTGGTAGTGGAAGTGGAGGCCATGAGTTGTCTGCCCTTGGAGGTATAGACCTTTTCCATGAGTCCTTTTCTGTGTGTTCTTTAGTATTAAGAGCCAGTTCTGATACTTTAGGGGGTTTGTTTATTTGATTGATTCTTTCATTGCAAAACCTTCATTGTAAAACCAGCTTTAATTGGATGTTTAATTAGTGTAGAACAATAAAATAGTATTAAAAATAAAACTATAAGGCAAACATAACAATTTCAAATATTAACTTGGAAAAGTTTAGGAAACACAGGTGTTTAGGAAACATGAGACGTGTGGATATTCTTGATATTCTCCAGGGTTTACCTGTGGTTCTCTTTTGTATATTAGAAGCAAAACAGCCATTTTAAATTGCCTGTCATTTAGATGGAGTGCTGTAAAAATGTGTGAATATAATACGCTCTCATCTGTTTAGGTGAAGGTGGCTTGCAAAGTCTTCTGGGAAACATGAGCCATAACCAGCTCATGCAGCTGATTGGACCAACAGGCTTAGGAGGACTTGGTAAGCTTCTTTTGTACAATCATGCTAAAATTATGTTTGTTTGGGTTAATCTCATCCTAACGCTCCCTGCAGGTACTATACTTGGTTCTTAAGCAAAGTGTTCATAATAAATATCACTGGACAGAAAGTTGTACCAAGTAACATGAGCTGATCCATTCTTTTCTCTATTCTTTCATTAAATGCCTGCAACATGGATACAGTGTTGTCAGAACATTAAAAGTGCGCGCTTTGTAAGATTTCCCTGTGTGTGTGATGGTAAACCTGCTGCTTAATGGCATATGTGAATCCTTCAGCGACTGATCATGCAGCCACTTTGCATCCTCACTGCTTGTTGCCATCCAGTGGTCCAGAATAGAATGATTCCACCAGGAGGCAATTTTCAGAGAATGTAGAAAAACAGGTTTCCCAGCATCTTGTGCTATTAACACAAAGCATGGCAGAAGCACAAACTTAGTTCTGTGGCATCTGTTTCTACCCTTAAGGATGTTTGGCTTAGAAATGACAAATTGAGACTCAGAATTAATGCTTCGAGTATCAAAGTGGACTCTCAGATAAAACTTGGCAAAGAACTAGACAGATAAATCCTTTGTGTGTGTGCTTTTGCTTAAGTTTGTATACTCTAAAGTGGACAAAAACCACTTAAGATGAAGAAAAGGCTGGCATGATGTCAAAAAGGAGTCTCCTATTCCTTCCCAGGTTTAGGCATGTTTTCAGTCCGGGTGGACCATTAATCAGTGAGAGCCTTCAAATTGACCAAAGAAGTCCTCCGGCTCCTTGCTGAATTTGTGTAAAAAAGCATCTGGTATTGCAATATGAGTTTGTACATCTGTGTTTCTGGATGGGGAAAACTGTAAAGTTATTTTGGTTATTTGGAACAAGAAGTCTACACAGTACAACATTTTTAAGCCTACTTTCTATTTATGAAAAGAAGTCTCTAACACATATGCTGTCTTTTTCCTTTACGGAAGGTGGGCTCGGTGCTCTGACAGGTCCTGGTCTGGCTAGTCTGTTGGGAAGTGGGGGCCCCCCAACTAGCAGCTCTTCTTCCAGGTAAGAGGACCTTGGCTTATAACTCTCCTTTTCAAAGAAGCAGATTGTTCAATATTTTAGTGAGGACATTTCTCTCATAGGTTTCTGTTTTTATTACATATTGCTGCAGTGTTTCAGATCCAACAGCCAGTGCTGTGTGGCGAACTTGTGGGGAAGCAGCTCCTGTGGTATTTGTCTAACATTTAAAGAGAATCTCTCCTAGATGTGGGAAAGGTGGAACCTCATTTCGGGGTTTGGCTAGAGAAGGGAAATGGGAGATCAGAAAGGGTCAGTAGGGTTATAAACAGTAAGTCTTTGGCTTTTGTAGTACGGTGGTACTTTGGTTCTCGAACTTAATTCATTCCGGGAGTCGGTTTGACTCCCGAAAGCATTCGAAAACTAAGGTGCAGCTTCCAGTTGGCTGCAAAAACTTCCTGCACTCAAGCAAAAGCCGCGTTGGACGTTCAGCTTCTGAAAAATGTTCGCAAACCGGAACATTTACTTCCGGGTTTGTGGCATTCAGGAGCCGATTTGTTTGTCAACTAAGCTGTTCGAGAACCAAGGTACCACTGTAATTCTAGGGCTCATTTTTAAACTGCAATTTTAGAAGTTTGGGATTTCAAACTGAGGAAGGAGGCATCCCATCTCCTCCTTGCTTAAGTTGTGTTGAGTGAGCTCAGAGCTTCTTTTTTGTGGGAGGAGAAGACCTGTTGGTACTCTGGAATGGCAATTCTCTCACTTGCTCTTTAGCTGTGGGAAACATCCCCGACTTCAAACTGTACTTGCAGAGGCTAACTATACGAATTGCCTTTTAGCTCTCGCAGCCAGTCGGCAGCTGTGACACCATCTTCCAGTACTTCTTCCACACGGGTAACGCCAGCTCCTACAGCTCCCGCAGCAGCCTCTGCCACTGCTACTGCCACCAGTCCCAGTCCTGCTCCGAGTTCTGGAAATGGGACCAGTACAGCAACAAGCCCTACTCAGCCCATCCAGTTGAGTGACCTCCAGACTATCTTGGCAACGATGAATGTGCCGGCTGGAGCAGGAGGGCAGCAAGGTAAAAAGCCTCTGTAGCCTGACAAAAAATGAGGTCTTACCAAAGATGTATCCTGCCTTGTGCTTCCATGTTCCTTCCTAGTTGCTTTTCCTACTGAAACAGTATTAGCAGCATGCTGTTTATCGTATTGTTTGTGTCTTTGTACAGGGGCATGTAATAAAGTGGTTTTTTGCCTCTGTGTTTACTGCAAGGATGGGCATCCTGTGGCCCTCTGGCTGTCATTGGACTCCAACTCCCATCACCCCAGGCAGCATGACCCAGTGGTCAGAGATGTTCGGAGTTGTAATCCAATAGTGGCCGGAGGGCCAGAGTTTCCCCAACCCTGCATTACAGTGTGTGTAAGGGACGTGGGTGGCACTGTGGTCTAAACCACTGAGCCTCTTGGGCTTGCCGATCGGAAGGTGGGTGGTTCTAATCCCTGCTGCTCAGAATTTTGTTCAGTTGAGGCTTTCAAAAAAAGTTAATTAATCATTTGGTTGACAATAATCAACAAAACACTGTTACGGGGGGGATACTTTATATCATAATGTTCTGCAGGAAAATATGACTTGACATAAAATTAGAGTATTTCTTCTAAACAGAAATCCAAAACCACCTTGAATTTGCTTTCACAGGACGTCATTATTTTGTTGACAATATTGTATAAAGGGCAACTAGTTTTCCCAAAACAAGTTTCCGTATTCACTTGCAATTCTTGCTCTTAGATGAGATGTTATTTTTGCCATTACAGTATAGCCAAGTCCCAAACTTTACCAGGTCATTCTTTCCAGGAAGTGAGTAATGTAACTAGTTTTTAGTCAATTAGCAGCTGTAATCAAAATAGGATGCAAGTTCTTTATGGTCTTTCTTTAGGATAGGGGACTTACAGTTGAGCAATATCAGTACTGTATCTAAAGGAACTTCATCTTCCAAACTTTTTTCTTATTATTCTAATAATAATCTTCCAGTATTTTTGTGTGTAACTGCAAACCTACCAGATAATGATAAAAAGTTCCATTCTCCCATTTGCACCTCCACCCTATTTTCAAATATGATTTATTTATTGCTGCAATAATTGCAGGAGTCAGATGCCATTATACCATAACTTTTAAAAACAATTTTCCTCTTAATTTTTATTTTTTATTTTTTTGCATATTTTCTCCAAATATCTTCCACACCTCCATGCTTATGCTATTTCCTGTGTCCTTGACTACACCTTATCATACAAACCTTTACTTGTTCCCATTTGCAGTTGTACTTTAACAACAGGTGATTAGACTTTTGTGGTGCCTGTGATACACCTGTGCTGTGACTCACAGAGTTCTCCTGCAGCAGCTTTGCTAATTCTTGGTACTTCTGCCACATACATTCTGGCTCTGTTTCTTTACAGTTGACCTGTCCAGTGTCCTGACCCCGGAAATAATGGCACCCATTCTGGCAAATACAGAGGTTCAAGAGCGCTTGCTGCCTTATCTTCCTTCCGGGGAATCTCTGCCGCAGACAGCAGAGGAGATCCAGAACACACTGACCTCTCCACAGTTCCAGCAGGTAAAAGTTTTGGTATACCTGGAAAATACACTTGGAGGCAGCTACTTGGCCTAAGTAGGAGGACTGACTTATACTGGGTGGAATTGGCTGAAACACACCAGAAGGAATCTTGGACAAATCCCTGTATCATCTGGAGATCTGTGTGATGGGGAAGGTCTAGTTATGAGGCAGTTGACTTCTCTTTTAAGGTCTTTACAAGTTTAAAAATGGATGAATGAGGATGGGAAAACCAAAGAGGCAGAAGTGGTGTCCTAGGCAACCCGTGTGTGGATGTACAATACAGGGGCAAAAGTGTCAGCATTTCTCTCGCACACCAAGACTCTTCACTTTGTGTAGCCTGTCAAATTTGCTGGCCGGCCTTTCCAACTGTGTCTGTCAGCCATTTGGGTTGTCTTTCCCCCTGTTCCCCCTGAGAGCCAGTGTGGTGTAGTGGTTAAGAGCGGTAGACTCCTAATCTGGGGAACCGGGTTCGCGTCTCCGCTCCTCCACATGCAGCTGCTGGGTGACCTTGGGCCAGTCACACTTCTCTGAAGTCTCTCAGCCCCACTCACCTCACAGAGTGTTTGTTGTGAGGGAGGAAGGGAAAGGAGAATGTTAGCCGCTTTGAGACTCCTTAAAGGGAGTGAAAGGCGGGATATCAAATCCAAACTCTTCTTCTTCTTCTTCTGTTTCAGGATACTGTGCCCCATTTCCCTCTCACCAATAAAATAAAGTTTGTGTCTGCTAAATGCAGTCTTGTGATTTGTTATTTATAAACCTGCCTTTAGAGCGGCTGAGATGGCACTGCTCTGGTGTAACCCCACAAGCTTATCTCTAATTACTTGCTGAATTAATTCAATGCTGATAGCAGTAATCTTAGTGGGGAAAGCTGTTTATTAATTAGAAGATTGAAGAAGTTTGCTAGAAATCCACCCCCCCCCAAAAAAAAAGACAACCCAGCTTGGCAAGAATGGAAGAAGCTCTTGTTTGAATCCTTTTCAGTTTGCCTGTTGTGATAAATCTCAGAAAGGCCATCACTGAGCTGGGCGTTGCATGTAGCCCTGGATGTCATTTTATTGCTGCCTTTGATGCCTCTTTGAGCTTTCATACTACCAGAGTTCTTTCCTCATCATCCCTGGCTTTAGAGCATGCACCCCCAAACTCAGCCTTCCAGATGTTTTGGGACTACAATTCCCATCATACCTGACCACTGGTCCTGTTAGCTAGGGATGATGGGAGTTGTAGTCCCAAAACATCTGGAGAGATTGGGGATGCCTGCTTTTGAGTGCTTGCCCCCCATCATTCTATGTTGCTTCTAAACAATAGGAAGGGATGGTATTTTGTCCCCCCCCCTTGGTTGTATGGTCCTTAGCTGTCTGAGAACAATTTGTTATGATGCCACTCTGTGTATGGGGTTGGCGACATACTAAATTTGGAAGTAAATTCCACTTTTCAGAACAGTAGCTGTATTGATCTTTTGCGCTTTAAAACCCCCCCACAAAACTATAATTGAAATTAACCTTGTCAAGCCCAGTGCAGCCTACTTCTGAGTGCACCTGCATAGGAGGAGTGGGCATTCTAATCTTCCAAGTAGCTATGTTGAAAACTGAAGCAGCATACTTTATTCTAGAATAGTTAATCCATAATACTATCATCTTTGGCTGCACCTGCCACCAGAGTGCAGCACCTGAAGGAATGCTGCCCTCCACAGGAAACAAAAGGACTGCTCAGCCTTTGCTGTATAGAATCTTTTTGGAATTTGACATAGCTTTTTTTCTTTGCAGGCACTCAGCATGTTCAGCGCTGCCTTGGCTTCTGGGCAGCTGGGACCTCTAATGAGCCAATTTGGCCTACCAGCTGAGGCAGTAGATGCAGCAAACAAAGGAGGTGAGTTCATTTCTGTCAATAAACCCAAAGTTGCTCAGTGGCTGTGCAGAAGGCACTGAAACTCCTGCTGGGTCAGAGGTCCTTTGTGTTGCAGTTTTACCAGAGTCCATATCCCTTCTTGATTTTGAAGCCCTCTTGAAGGCAGAGAATCAGGGTAAAAGGTGGCAGCTCTGGCTCAGCTCTCTGTAACCCAGCAAAGTATAAAGATTGCTGTGGAATGGTGACACATTGCTTCTAATGCAGTGCTTTTTGTCCAATTATGAATATGGCCTGGAATGTCATTTTGTAGGCTGAGTACATGACAGGTCTCAGCTGCAATGAACATGAGGAAGGGGAGTGGTTAGACCATTACAGACCAGCACAGATGTTCAGATGTTTCCTTTGTCCACCTACTCCAGGCTTTTCGTCCTGGGTAGTTGTCTTCCTTTTGCCATATGCTGTTCACTTGGAGCCATGCATTAAGTAGCCTGCTTTTCTATTGCATGCTGCCATGTTATTAATTTGATGTGTCTTATTTTCAGATGTCGAGGCGTTTGCAAAAGCAATGCAAAACAACGTCAAATCCGATCAAAAGGAAGGAGACTCAAAAGACAAGAAGGACGAGGAAGAAGACATGAGTTTAGATTAGGTTTCTTTAATGTGTCTTACGGGTACTCCTAGATATTTACCTTAAGATAAGTAGGATAACTAGCATACTTCATGTATTGAATCTGCAAGTAAAGGACCTCTCTGCCAAATTCATCCTGGGTATACTGGGTTTCCCCCCCACTTGCTGCAGTTTCAAACAGATGTTTGTCTTTGTGGCCTTAAAGTACACTTTGGCAGCTTCATATTGTTGTCCTGATTAAATTTATAGTCTTGCATCAAATCCAGTTGCAGGTCTATGCTTGGGGTTTCTTGTAAGGTAAATGCATCACCTTGGCACAAACATTTGTAATTTTTATATTTAGTTTGTTGTTACAACCCATATCCAAGAGTTGCTATAAAGCCATCCAAGGGCTTATCTATATCCAGCAGAATATTTTGTGCTTTTAAACCCTACCTATTTAAGGAATTGCTTGGTTCTAACAGTTCTTTTGTAAGAAGCCCCTTTTGTTCCTAGAAGGCTGTCTCCTCTTTCTACTTATTCTCTCCATCTCCTACATTGTGTGAGGTAATCCTGACCCTCAAGTCATGTTTTTATGAAGGACATGGGGCAGTAGGAACGGGAAAAACCCTCTCGTGAGAAGAATGTGTGATTCTGAAGGTTCCAAGGCAATCTGTCCCCAAATTTCTCACTCAGGAGTGTTGCATCCTCTGGGCTTCAGCCTAATTTTATGCAGGGGGCAGTCTGAGCCCAGTCCACTTTTAGATGGTGTGTAGTCTTCAACTATCTTCTAGGACAGAGCTTTCCAAACTCTGTTGTGACACACTCCCCCTGGGAGTTTAACCTCCAGTTTGCTAGTAAAATTGTGTCATGAAATGATGCGTGTCTAAAAAGTATGTCAGCAGCATGAAAAGTTCGGAAAGCTGTTCTAGGGACTGGCCCTCAATAGAAACATGGGTTCCTTTCCCTGTTCTAAACTGGCTTGCCCTTCATAGCCTTGCTTCTCTATTAGCAATCCTAGCATGTTGAAGTAATAATAATACTTTTACTATTTGTTCCCTTGCCCATCTGACTGTGTTGCCTCAGCCACTCTGAGCAGGAAGCTGGGAAAACTTCCTTTGCCTAACATCCTGACTTACCCAAATGTCACTGCATTTGACAGCTATGCCTGTTTTTGTGAGATACATAAAAGTAGTGACAGGAATTTTGGTGGTGGAGATCTTTTGGGAAGTGCCATAGCTGAACTATAAAGAGAACTGTGCATTTGGTAGGCATTTAGACCTCTAAACTTCACTTTACAAAACAAAAACCTGCAGGAATGTCTGAGGTCCCTATAGCGCTTGAAACGGTTGCAAAGACGAGTTTAATATAAAGTGATTGTGGGTTTATTGGCAGCTATCGAGGCCCAGGCAGAGTATCTTAACAAATTCGGCACTACTCCATATTGTTTGTATGAATTATAGATCATAAAATTTTATTTGAATTAAAAGTATGTACCAGTGATTTACAGAGATTATCCCTTAAAAGTACAGCTTAAGAACAGATACTTACAGTGGTTGAAAGTGAAACCAATAATTGTTAAAACCCATTTTACAATATGTACCCCAGCATTAAAACAGCCAATATACTGATAAGTTATAAAGTCCTTTTCAAAGCAGTATCTTGACCCATGTGATGAACGATGTATATACACACAAATATATATAAGGCAATCTCTAAGTGCACCATATACTTTTTGGGGGGCAGGGGGAGGGTGTTATTGTGAAGTTAATGCGCTAGGGGAGTTGGGAAACACTGGGTGGTATTCAATACCAGTCCTATTCAAGAGTAAACCTGTTGATGTTAATGGACGTGGGCTTAATTTCAATGGGTCTACTCTTGAGTAAAGAATAACTGACTTAAACCCATGCAACAACTGAATTTTGAGCACAGTGGTTCAAGAGTCAGCTGGCAGCTTAGTCCTCTGCTGCTTTCTTGCCCCGGGGCAATTAATAAGCAGACAGTTTACTAGGGACATATTAAACTTCCTGCCTCACGTGGAAATAAGGCTGTATTGCTTGCATAATCAACCTGACAAGATGGTATATAACATGGTTGGAGAGGCAACATGGGCACATTTACCATATTTTTCGCTCCGTAAGATGCACTTTTTTCCTCCTAAAAAGTAAGGGGAAATGTCTGTGCGTCTTATGGAGCAAATGCGTGGTCCCTGGAGCCGAATTGCCCAGGGGCGAAAAGCAGATCATGCTCCCCCCCCCCAAAAAAAGACAAGTGGGTGTTGAAGCCGCTGAGCAGCTGATCGGCAAGCGATCAGGATGGAGATAAGGGACGCTAGCGATAAAGGAGGCTGCCTGGGATGAGGGAGGTAAAAGCACATGGATCCTCAATTTTTGCATTGGGTCACCCCAAATTCACCATCAGATCACATAGCATGTCTGTGGCCACAGCATGAACCACAAAAATCATACATCCACTGTTTCGTTCAGAATATCCCCCCCCCCTGTTTTCCTTCTCTAAAAACGAGGTGCGTCTAATGGTCAGGTGTATCTTATGGAGCGAAAAATATGGTAGTTGAGTCATCCTTTCCTTATACATTAAAGGCTATCTGCCCAAGTCATAATCAATGGATTTAATTCTACTCATTAACTTAGCACCAAAAACATGAAATACTGTTTTTCTGAAACAACGAGTGCCTGGTTGGTAGAGACTAGACAAGCACAATGCAAAATGGCTTTGAAGCTCCAAGACCTGCATCTTGCACAGTGTTTCATTATTTCAGTAAATAAATACTGGCCCCCGACCAAATGGTTCTCATGCTGCCAGCTGCTTGGAAATGATGAAATACAATTTGGGTGATGGCAGCAATAAAGTTTTCATATTTAGACGTGCTTAAATAATTTTGTTCCTGTCCCTTGAGCCTTTCAGCTGGCTGAAGCAGTTGTTCACAAACTACACTGACAGATTCATCCTGATTAGAATCTTACCAGGTGTGGGGAGGAGAGAGGGAACACCTTATGCTTCAACAGTACTATTATAAATATACCATATGCCCTTGCCCTCTTCAAAAACATTACTGTGGACAATGTGTAAAGGCAGGAAAGCATCAATTACAAATAAAAACGGATGAGGCCTCCTTGCCCTCTCAACACACCTGCTGTTGGTGCTGAACATGGACTGTGTCCCCAGGCGGCAAGGAATGCTGTGTGTGCCCAAGCTTGAGGGACTGCTGGCTTCCTGAAGGGTTGTGTGGCTTTCTGCAGTACTGACTTAACACGTACAAATAGTTTTTACATAAGTGGGCACTCTGTGAGCCCTACCGCTCCCCTTACAGTCCCAGCTTCTCTTAGGTTAATTTGGTTCCGGTTAATCACCAAGTTCTTCATGCAGCCAATGTAGGAGGGTAGATGAGCCACAGGTGCCAAAGGGAGGCCAGTGTCTTCAAGTTCTGTAGAAGGAAGAGAAAAATATTTTTTTACTTCAACTCTAGGCAGTCGGAGGTCATTGGGCTTCAGTTTCACTTTAAGCTAATTGTGACTAAGGCCCATTGGTTAACTTGTCTAATAAACAGGGAAGTGCACTCCACTAAATACAAAACCAAAAAATATAGGAAGCACATACACAGCACAGCAGTGCTTTGCTAGTGCCGCATGCAAGAAGAATTTGTGACACAGATTTTCCCTATGACACAGAAAGAGCTTGTTTAAATTTTGTACTGCATAAACTGAGCACCTTTTGGAATGCAAGCATGGCTACTGAACATTGGAACACTCCAAAATGCAAAATGATTCTGTGACAGATGCATGATGTTCTTCAGCAGGCAAACAAATGTGGCGATTCCCTGGGAATAGTTTGAAATTCATTGTGCAAGGCTAGAGAGGGACCACCTCAAGCCTGGGACATAAATGCAAGAAGAACAAGCTGAGCTATGGGGGCATTAAGTAAATTAACTGCAATGGTTTGTAAGCAGGATCCTCCCAAATATCCGTGCTTGAGCTACTCACCTGGCATTCCACCGAGGTAGAAGTTTTCTTTGATGGCTTCAGCATGGGCTTGGTTGGGTCCCACAATGTAATTTCCCTCTGTGTCCACATCTAACTGAATCACGTTGCTGCTTTTGATTACTTGCAAAGAGAGGGGTGGAACTAAGTCAGAGCTAGACATGCTGAGAAACCTCACCTCCCTCACAATGCATGAAGCCCTTGCTCCCACACAAGGGTGGGTTGGTTCAGTGTCTAGCACAACTTAAAATGAATGAGGCGTGTCAATTTGGACTAGCATATGGGCATGTAACAATTGCGCAAGCAGCTGGAAGGATTGTTTCAGAAGTGTACAGTGGTACGTGGGTTTAAGAACAGCCCTGTTTATGAACGATTCGGTTTACAAACTCCTCAAAACCGGAAGTAGTGTCCTGGTTTGCAAACTTGAACTTGGTCTAAGAACGGAATCCAAATGGTGGAAGGGCACTGGCGCCGGGAGACCTCATTAGGGGAAACGCACCTCGGTTTAAGAACGGTTTCGGTTTAAGAACGGACTTCTGGAACTGATTGAGTTCGTAAACCGAGGTACCGGTTCGTAAACCGAGGTACCGGTTCGTAAACTGAGGTACCACTGTACTCTGCATTCTGCCTAGATGGAGCCGGTGCTAATGATCCACATGAAGTCTTAATCAGCATCAAAGAAGGAAATGGGTTGTGTTGGAGGCACATGCATAGATATTTCCATCCTTCTCTCTAGCTCTTTCATACACACACTTTGACCAGTCAACATCCACACCTATTTTATGAAGGGATTTGACTCAGTGATAAAGCACATCCTTTGCATGCAGATGAGCCCACTTTTAATCTCTGGTGTCTCCAGGCAGAGCCGGGAAATATTCCTGCCTGAAACCCTGCAGAGCCACTGTCAGTCCGTGCAGACAATACTGAGTTTGCTGGACCAATAATCTGGGTCCGTGTTAAGGCAAATTCCTAGGAAATGTTTGGTGAGATACAGAATACTGACTTTGGTTTGAGAAGAAGAAGAGTTTGGACTTGATATCCCGCCTTTCACTCCCTTTAAGGAGTCTCAAAGCGGCTAACATTCTCCTTTCCCTTCCTCCCCCACAACAAACACTCTGTGAGGTGAGTGGGGCTGAGAGACTTCAGAGAAGTGTGACTAGCCCAAGGTCACCCAGCAGCTGCATGTGGCGGAGCGGAGACGCGAACCCGGTTCCCCAGATTACGAGACTACCGCTCTTAACCACTACACCACACTGGCTCTCAAGCAGAACAACAGAGAGAGAACGGCTTGGATTTTGAGGAATGCTGCTTGGGCTGTGATGTTCTCAAAGCAATTAACCCCCCCCAAAAAAAGAGCACAGCAGGAAAAGATCACACACCTGCTAGCGTATGCCACTGCCCATCGCAGAGTGAAGGTTGGGTCACCGAGGTGGCAAATTCCCCAGCACCAGTGTTTGCAATCACAGTGACCTAATCCAGAAAGAGAAGATTAAGAGAATTTCCATCAGGATGGGAAGGGGGAGACAGTCCTGAACATACTTCAAACGTGGATCAGCTGAAGTGGTGACACAGATTCCCCAGTGAGAAGACTGGCAAGTGATAATCTTGAAAAGCAGGGTTTTTTTTGTCATTGCTGATCTACTCCTGGAAACACAGCTGGAGGCGAGTACCAGGCTGTATAGGTGCCCTGAATGCATGCCCAAGTGTGCAGCCCAGAACACAGGGATGTATGAGCTGCTGGTTCCTTGGAATCTACTGGATCAGATCAATGAACTGCACAGTTCCACTCATGACGTCATGTCCTTATAGGTGGCAAATGCATTTAGTGGGATGGAACTGAAGCAAATTCATGAGTTTGCAAAACAACAGCCCCAAATTTAACTCATGGAATTCTGCACGTACAACCAGCTTCCCTCTTGAGAACATTTGTAGCAATACACATGTTCGTGATAAGCAAGAGCTTTCCCCATGCAAAATAGAGAGATGCAAAATAGCCTGTGAAACAAACAACTTGGGCTCCTAGAATCAAAATCATGGGCTGCGTTTTTTCCAGTTCTACACATGGAACAACAGGTGCATATTAAGCCTTTCTGATTTCACGAAGCAGGTCTTCAGCTTCCTGAGAATTTCAACTTCTACTTTTCAAGGTTCCTAGCTGTGAGACCTAGGAAAGCTTGATGTTTGTTTGCAAAAGGCTATGGCTGATCCAGCAGTCTCAATTTCTCCTCAAGGTTTATAGTTCCTGTTGCTTCATCTTTACCAAATCTCCAGAATGTCTGTCTGCCCTAACCCCAAATGCCAATAAGACATTTACTTTTTGCTTTCTGGCTAACAGTACATTTTTGTGCTTTGTGTGTATAAAAGGATCAGCCAAGCAGGTGTGATTTTTAAATTTTCTCTTCTGGCTCCCTTTAGAGACCATACAAGTTATTACTTCCAGTGTATACGAAGTGCTTGTCTTGCTGTCTGATCACGTTACCTTTTCCTTGTCTGTATACAGACTGAGGTAGTTTGTTTGTCTTGTGCCAATGTGAAATATCAAGCCAGACACACTCCGGGGGCGAATTTCCAGCATCAACTCAAAGTCCTGCCCAATAGCTACGGACCTGTCTGGGGGATGAAAAGAGAGAGCTGTCAGAGCAACAGAGACCGCATGGGCCTTTATGCCTTAGGAAAGAAGAGGATGTACTGGCGAAACTAGGAGGAACATGTGGGGGAGTCCAGCAGGGTACAGAAAGCTCGAGAAAGATGATTCATACAGTACCTAGAGCCACGTATCCTCCATCAGCAGAGAAAAAGGTGCCACTTTCCAAAGGACCCTCATAACAAGGGGTCACTCCAAAGAGGCGGGACGGTGAGACCAGAGGCTTCCTGTCTAGTTTCAAGTGCCGGATGCACCCTTTAAAGCTGGTAGCGGAAGCATCCTGAAGAAGGAAAAAGATCTTTTATATACAGTGGTACCTTGGGTTAAATACTTAATTCATTCCGGAGGTCCGTACTTAACCTGAAACTGTTCTTAACCTGAAGCACCACTTTGGGGCCTCCTGCTGCTGCCACGCCATCGGAGCCCGATTTCTGTTCTCATCCTGAAGCAAAGTTCTTAACCTGAAGCACTATTTCTGGGTTAGCGGAGTCTGTAACCTGAAGCGTATGTAACCCGAGGTACCACTGTATATATATATTTGTTTTGGAGAAGATGGGGAGCCTCAGACCTGGGGGCTGAATGTGGCCCTCCAGACTGTTATATCTGGCCCTTGGGATTCTTCCTAGGCCACACCTCCTCACTGGCCCTGCCCTAGGCCATCCTTGGGTGTTTTCTCCTGCCTGGATTGTGTCTCAGAATTGTGATAATGCTTCTTGGTTTACTGGACAGAGGATGGAAAGGGGTGTGTGTCCTTATGTAGGAAGTTCTGCCTTTTGTGGGTGGAAGGATGTCACCTGTACAAAAGTACAGAGCCCCATCCAGTTCTTTCTCCACTTTTGCTTCTGCCATTGCCTTTACAGGGCATACAGCCCCTAGAAGGTTTGCTACCAGGAGATTCAACCCTTGGGCAGAAAAAGAAGCCACTTGTAGATGCTGACGGCTTTTAGTCACTGATGCAAGATGTAACCCTGGAACTCCTCTGCATGTTTACATAACTGTTACCGGTGGCACCAAAGGACCAGTTTGCAGACACAACAAACTGGAAGGGGGCGGGGAGGGACAGTAGGCATGTGTCCTCCCACTTACACTTACACCCATCTTTGTGATTCAGGGAATAGTCTGACTTCTCACAATCTTGCTACCCTCCTGCTTTAGCAGGAAGGACTGTGAGGACTGAGTATACCACCTTATGGCCTGTATTATGGGTAGTACATGCCTTGGCCCACTGCCCCATCACCTGTATGAGATTTTTCAGTTTGCCTGTAGTGTCAGCTGGCTCTTAGGCAGCATGTGGGCAGGGGACGAACTGCTCCCTGGGTCCTCACAAGGGCCCCCAGACACGCAGCCCTCGTTTTCTGAAAGATGCTGATCTATAGAGTGGTGGCAGAAACAAAAGTGTCCCTCCTGACTAATGGCACCAAAGCTGCCATACGACACTTTCAGAGGGGACTAATGTACGTGATGTCTCTCTCTCCTAACATCCCAGGGAATTTGTTTTGTAAAATGTGTCCTCGGAGGGGGTGTTTTCAGAATATATCCTCCAGACCCATCCTCAGTGGTATGTACCACACACAATACTATCTACAAATACAGTGGTACCTCTAGTTATGAACTTAATTTGTTCTGGAGGTCCGTTCTTAACCTGAAACTGTTCTTAACTAGAGGCATGCTTTCGCCAATGGGGCCTCTTGCTGCTGCTGTGCCACTGGCACAGAATTTCCGTTCTCATCATGGGGCAAAGTTCTCAACTCGAGGTAACTCTTCCAGGTTAGTGGAGTTTGTAACCTGAAGTGTTTGTAACCTGAGGCGTTTGTAACTCGAGGTACCACTGTACTTTCTACAAATCCTCCAGGTGTTGAATGGGGAAAGGATCAAGGTCAGAGGCACGGTATGTGCTTTGCATGTAGACAATCTGTCCCCAAGATGCTGGAGAGATGCTTCCAGGATAGATAATAAATGGGCAAACAGTTTGACGTTCTATGAGGCGGCTTCCTGGGATCCTTACTGGTATATGCGCTTTGGCTTTCTCCACAGGGGCTCCTCCAACGTAGAAAGGACCAGGGATCCAGAAGTCTCCAGCAACAGGCAGGGACTTCTCCTGGGCTCTCAATCCATTGATGATGAGCTGGACTCTGCTTCTGTCTCTGCTGTAGAAGACCTGACAATTGCAAGAGGCGCACATCAGAGCTGCTTGGTTCTTGGCACTTTTACCAGCCTATGACACTCAAGAGCTTGTTTACTTTAATGCCGGGGGGGGGAGGGGGTTAAACCTGTGGCCCCTCAAGTGCAGATGGACTGCAACCAACCTTCATCTCTGGCCATTGGCCATGCTGGTAGGGGCTGATGTGAGTTGGAATCGGGACAAAAGCTGAAAGGCCATCTTTGATTTAACGTGATATTGGCATGGTCACTTTGGGTATCTGCACTAAGCATGTGCAGTCCTACAACAAACCTTTTACTGTAATCCCCTTTTTTACAGAGGGGAAATGGAGGCCAAGAAACAACGAGTTTCCCCCAGGTTCATCTGCAAGTCCCAAGCACAGGGAAAAATAAATATTGATTGTCTAAAGTCTGAGTACATTCAGCACTTCATTCAACTGGGGCTACACTGATTTATATTTACTAGCAAGCTTTGATTGAAACAAAATTAAAAAAATCCCTTCCAGCAGCATCTTAGAGACCAACTAAGTTTGTTATTGGTATGAGCTTTTGTGTGCATGCACACTTCTTCAGATATGCACACAAAAGCTCATACCAATAACAAACTTTGTTGGTCTCTAAGGTGCTACTGGAAGGAATTTTTTTATTTTGTTTCGACTACAGCAGACCAACACGGCTACCTACCTGTAACTAAGCTTTTATTGCTATAGTTTTTAAGAGATGGCCCTTGGTTCATGTCTAATTTGGCTGTCTTCTTGTATTTCCTCTTTCACGTTACATCTACTCTTTCACCTGGCTTAAATAAGGCTTCATGAGATTTCTATTCTACAGTCAGATAAGACTCATTCCACACAGGCAGTTGGCACTATTCACTCAGTAGGGAGCCGCAGCCAGTTCTGACACTCTTATGAATGCAGCTGTTGGCATACTTGTAGCCTAAGTATGTGGGTTCACCCCCCCCCATTTGTGTATTTTTAGATTTCCACCAGGGAAAGAATCTCATTTGCAAAGTGGCCCTAAACTCCTCAGCAATCCCAGTTGCACAGCATCATTCTCAAGCTAACAGCATAGCTCCCAGCCAAGTCCGCCAGGAATAGAGGATGTGGCTCTCACCAGGAGATTGGAACCCATTGTTTCCTCAGACAAAGGACACTGCATTTTTTACTCATTATATTTGTGTAAATGTCAATTTGTGGAAATTCACAAAGTTCTATTGGGACGGTTTTTCTGGAATGAAACCAATCTAAACAAGTAAGGGCCGTATCCCAACTTTTACTCAGAGTTTTCCCCCTGAAATTCATTGGCTGTGTTCTTTAATTTCAATGGGTCTACTCTGAGTAGGACTAGCATTGAATGCCACCCTTAAGTCACTAGCTTTTACATTTTGTGTTTCTAAAAGCCTTATTCAAATGTTCATGAAGGGAGTAAATGCACTCTGAGGGGTGTGCTGAATCCATCAGACTGTCTACCCAATGCGTGCATGCAATACATAAAGGTAAAGAAACCCCTTCAGTTAAGTACAGTTGCAAATGACTCTGGGTTGCAGTGCTCATCTCGCTTTACAGCAGTGTTCCCCAACCTTGGGCCTCCAGCTGTTTTCGGACTACAATTCCCATCATCCTTGACCATTGGTCTTGCTAGCGAGGGATGATGGGAGTTGTAGTCCAAAAACAGCTGGAGACCGAAGGTTGGGGAACACTGCTTTACAGGCCGAGGGAGCCGGCTTTTGTCCGCTTCTGCAGACAGTTTTTCCAGGTCATGTGGCCAGCATGACTAAGCCACTTCTGGCGAAGCTAGAGTTGCACACGGAAACGCCATTTACCTTCCCACCAGAGCGGCACCTAGTTATCTACTTGCACTGCGTGCTTTCGAACTGCTAGGTTGGCAGGAGCTGGGACCGAACAATGGGAGCTCACCCCATCACGGGGCCTTGAACTGCTGACCTTCTGATCAGCAAGTCCAAGTGGCGCAGTGGTTTAAACCACAGCACCACCAGCATCCCTCATGCAATACATAATGCCTCCTTGTTTTACGTTCTTCATGGTCAAATGATCCCTACCAAATTATCTGACTGATACTTAGTCCAATGAAAAAGTAGGCAACTGTGGGATAGGGATAGAAAGGATAATTTGGTGTACTTTCATATACATGGAAAGCACATTCAAAATGGCAGCCCCTGGCCCAGGCAAGGCAGTGTGCCCATCCCAGTCTGCCTCTCCTTACTGTGTGCCACCTTCCATCATGGTACTTTTCTTTGCTCCTGACTCTCAGTTTCCTTCCGCTGATATCAGCCAAGAGCACAAATCGGCCACTGGAGACAAAGAGGGAGAAGAAGAAGCCCAGAGATTCATTGGCCATGTAAAAGAGGAGGCCGTTGGATGAGTTCAGTCGGACCTCCATGGAGAAGTGAAACCTGCAGAAAGAGAAGGGTTGGATGCCATTAATGAGCACATTCTGCCTGCAGCTGCTGCCTCGCCTTCTCAACTCCCGTTTCAGGAAGTGTCCTCTGGGGATCCATACGGTATCTTTATGACACTCTGGAGAAGGAGGCAACTGTTAAGAACACCTGCCTTCAGTAAGCTCCAGGTCATTCCAATGATTTCTTAACAAGAAAAGGGGATTTGTTGCCATCTTGGTTGCAGTCTTTGCAAAGTGTTAATAGCTTTTCAGGTTGTAAGATCACTTACGACCAGAAATACACACACACACACACACACACACACACACCGGCTTTCTTGTGTTTTAGTATCTCACAGAACCCACTGCAGCCCGACACAAAAGTGGTTTTGAGTCAGGGAATCCTAATCCAGAGTCCCTGCGATGACAGGATCCATAAAGCCAGACACATTTCTCAGGTGTTTCAGTTTTCTGTTTTTATGTTGGAATGTAGGGTAAAAAGGTAAAGGGACCCCTGACCATTAGGTCCAGTCGTGACCGACTCTGGGGTTGCGGCGCTCATCTCGCTTTATTGGCTGAGGGATCTGGCGCACAGCTTCCGGGTCATGTGGCCAGCATGACTAAGCCACTTCTGGCAAACCAGAGCAGCGCAAGGAAACGCCATTTACCTTCCCGTTGGAGTGGTACCTATTTATCTACTTGCACTTTGATGTGCTTTCGAACTGCTAGGTTGGCAGGAGCAGGGACTGAGCAACGGGAGCTCACCCCGTCGCAGGGATTCGAACTGCCGACCTTCTGATCGGCAAGCCCTAGGCTCTGTGGTTTAACCCACAGCACCACCTGCGTCCCTAAAAGTAGGGTAGCACTTCTCAAATAGGAAGGGAACAGAAAGACTACTTGCTTCCCCCCCCCTTACCTTTGGTGGAATGTTGCTGGAATGTCGTCAAATTCCAAGTGGCTCCCTGGGGACGCACCAAACTGGAAGGCATTCTTAAAGGCTTGGGGGTGTTTGGGTAAATGGCAGCTCATATCTCTCAGCATTGTCTTGCTTGGCACCTGCGGGGAAATAATTCAGAAATCGTTCTCCATAAAGAAAACCCCCTTAGCTTCAATGGGCTGAAAAGCAAGAGGGCATGTGGCTTGCTCCTTAAGACTCTCACCTGGGTTCAAAACTCAAGGAGAAAATTAATCCTAATCTTACAAGTAGCAGGTGACATGAATGGCTATGATTCACAATACTGCCCCCCCCCCATGGGTGGCACTGCAGAGGAGACAAAGTTACATGCGGGGCTTTTTTTCCAGCTGGAACTCGCTGGAACTCAGTTCCGGCACCTCTCAGGTGAGCACCATTGCCATTAAGGGAGGAGTTCATGGTGAATTCTGGCACCTCTTTTTCTAGAAAAATAGCTCATTCAAAAGGATGCATACAGGCATAAGGTGTTTGAGGCAAGCATGTTTGTGTGTGTGCAAGCAGTGGTAGAGGTAAAGGTAAAGGGACCCCTGACCATTAGGTCCAGTCATGGCCGACTCTGGGGTTGTGGCGCTCATCTCGCTTTATTGGCCGAGGGAGCTGGCGTACAGCTTCCGGGTCATGTAGCCAGCATGACTAAGCTGCTTCTGGCGAACCACAGCAGAGCACGGAAATGCTGTTTACCTTCCCGCCGGAGCAGTACCTATTTATCTACTTGCACTTTGTGCTTTCAAACTGCTAGGTTGGCAGGAGCAGGGACCGAGCAACGGAAGCTCACCCCATCACGGGGATTCGAACCGCCGACCTTCTGATCGGCAAGTCCTAGGCTCTGTGGTTTAACCCACAACGCCACCTGCGTCCCAGTGATGGAGGTAGCACACACAATTATGCCCACACATGAACTTTTGAATGCATTGGGGGGTTGCTTATACTGTAAGCTGTTTCTGAAATTATTGTAGGTGTTTCACTAAGTTTGGTGCTGCTCTTTTGAATCCCTCACCCTGAGCCAAACCTTGATCGAGGGTTGTCCAGGGGCTGTGTGAACGCAGTGCATGATTGCCAGAGAGGGAAGGGCAGCTGGAAAGAAACTATCTTCCCAAGCAACACATTCCCATATTGTCTTCTTCTGTGGGTGGAACGGATACATTTTGTGAAACCAAAATAAGGGAAATCCATACACAGGAGTCATTGCTTGGACAATGAGCCTAACAGGCAGTGGGGAAGGGAGAGTTTTTTGAAGACAAAATAAGGAAATCACCAATCGTGCTTGCAGTGGGCCTAAGCAGCGCTGTAGGGAGAGTCTGAAACATCTTCCCTGTGGTGCTTCTATATTTCAGAACAAAATGCAGCACAGGCTGCAGGCTGGACCTCTTGTCCCTGTCCCTATAGTTAACGGCTACTGCATCTGTAGATAAAAGCCAAAACAGAACGGAAGGGCAGCTGCAACGATTTCCTATCAACCTTCGGTTCCACTTGCCCTTCTCTCCGATGCCCTCATCTGCTGGGGCTGCCGATCCCTGGGGGCAGTTCATGGTCACGTTGACGTTCTTGGTGGCTTCTGCTGCAGGTTCCACGACCATCTGCGGGTCTCTGATTCCTATTGCAGAAGGGAAAGGAGCTCAGCAGCTGTTCAGCCAGGACCACAGCAAGATGGCAAGAAGGCTGGCAGAGAGGCCTTTCTGACTATATTAGCCCATCCTGGAAGCAAAGCAACTCTCGAATCCTCGCTGATTAATTGTCCTTGTTATGTCTGGACAATAACCAAATCCCACTTATTTCATTAACCCACAATATTGTATCTGCCTGCAGCTGATCTTCAAGAAGGACACTGTAGACTGCGCCTGCTCTGTTCCTGTCTGGCATCATCTTAGGTCTGAAACTTCATTCTGATTCCAGACTCTTCCTGAACCCCAAATGTTATATTTAATTTTACTTTTGACAAAACGTGTTCTCCCTAGCAGAGAGAACGTGTTGCAGTGGGGGATACAAGCCACCCCAGTGTTGCTGGGCGGATTTCCGGAGTGACCCAGGCAGTGAGCTGGTTAATTGGGTCGCTGGGGAGAATTGCTTGTTGCCAATTTTGAAGGAGGGGTCAGAGGTTTTAAATATTGGACGCCCAACTTTGGACGTCCTCTTGGCTGCTTGCACCGGATCACCTGCCCACCCTCCCTGTATTGGGGGGGGGGTTATTCGCTTGACCTTGCTATGCTTGTCATGGGGTCGTCTGCCTTGGTGCAGGGGCCTGGTAGGAATTTTGTCCATTTGGCTGATTGGCTGGTGCCATTTGGTTTTTGCCTACTGCATAGCAAATCGTCACAACTTGTAAGGTTGGCGGTTAGGCATTGGTTCAAATTGGTTGGTGGAGGGGTAAGTGCCTACCCCTCCAATGGTGGTGCGGAAAGGGAATTCTGTTAAAGGAATCCAGGGGCTTGCCATTCTTTTCGTCCTTGTCCCTGGCATCGGACTTGGGCCGTGCAAGCCACCAGGAGCACGAGGATGAGAAGTGAGGGACTGAGGCTCAGCTTCATTTTCTCACCCAATATTTGTTTCCCGCACTGGCTTTCGCTGGAATCCGAAAGTCAGTTCTGTCCCTGGGCAAGGACAGATAGTCGGAACCAATGCCTAAGCAACCACTCACTTGTGCGTATTTAAATAAAGTTGTGGCCAAAATCGTGCCAAAAACCCAAACCAAAATTGATGTGTGATGTGTGAATTATTGGGGGGTGGCTTGGGGACCTCGACACGCAACAGCAACACAACCTGTGTAGAGGATCCAGGATCTATGTATTTGCACAGTTAGGCCACACGAGGGAGAACAAGGCTCATGTCTTGGAGCAAGGAGTTTTACCCCATCAGAGTCGTGTGTGTGTGTGTGTGTGTGTGTGTGTGTGTGTGTGTGTGTTGCACTGCTGCCAATTCCCACATGATGAAATGTAGCAATTCCGAAGCAGGTGTATGGAACCTTCAATGATGAATGGTGAAACACCCATGTACAGTCGTGGCATCAGTCCTGATCTGAAGAACTGTAACCAACAAGAAAACCCAACTTGTCATGGCTATTTAGTCCAAACAACTATCAATATTGTTGCTTTCAAAGAAGGTTATGCTTTATTTCAGCTTCCAGCTGAAATTCAAAGCTCTCAAGATGTGTGAATACAAAATGGAATGATTGCAGTGAAAATTGATTATAGAGTCAGTAGTGTAACACAGAGGTGCACTTTAGGATGCCTGGATAGCAACACTGGGCAAATTCTTGGACTAGCCAGCTATGGTTGGATGCTACTGGTGGCACTGCAAAGTGAACAAGAGGGCAGGCATTTGCCATTAATGAAGTTAATTAAGTTCTGCACTGCGGCTGAACTCCCTGACTCCTTTGGCGTTCTTCCACAGGTTGGTGTGCAACAGGGGAATCTTAGATAAGTGCACAGAGGAAGCAAACTTTGGCTTACACTTGATATAAACTTGCTATGCTCATTAACAGCAGACACACTTATCCCTCAGGGTCTGAGGTAGAATAAATAATATATTTTTTTAATTGTCCAGTAGCACCTTAGAGACCAACTAAGTTGATCTCTAAGGTGCTACTGGACATTTTAAATTTTTTATTTTATTTTGACTGCATCAGACCAACATAGCTACCTACCTGGAGCTGAGAGGGGAAAGAGTTCTAGAGGTGTGCTGATGCATAGCTAGGCACCTCATCTATTTGCCAGCTGCCAACAAGAACATGTGCCTGCATTTGGTCATTCATTAGCACTGGGGAGGCAAAAGCCCCCTTCCCAACTGGCACTGTCCCACTGGTAACCTAATAAACAGCTGTTTGCTCTTCTAAGAACAGCTTCCTGCACCTCGGTTTTTGAACAGAACTTCATTGGCACTTGAGCCCAAATATGATGTGGACTTTGGATACCCTGTCCCATCATGGCTGTCACCTTTGCTCCCTACGATTACGCAATCAAACTGTACTGGGGAACTTGCATTGTCATATCTTCTAGTTGCTTAATCTTTTGCCTTTACGTAGCCTCAGTCTCAAACTATTGCTTTTGCCCAAAGTAACCCTCCCCAGCCCCCTTAGGTAACAGAGAATTTTAATTGTTTCCAAGAGACCACATTATTCATTCTTTGCAGGCAGTTTCTTCACTCAGACTGCTCTTTTCAATCTTCGCAGGGCTTTAATGAGGGCAGATTAATTAGTTCCTGGCCATGCCTTGTTCCCTAGACTCTTTCCCACGTTTGCTGTTTCCTTCAGGTTATCCAGAAGCCTCGAAAGAATGCAAACCCACATTTTCTCCCTTGACGGCCGTGGGTGCAGATGCGTCCCCATCCTTGCCACCGTGCTTCCTGCCCAACCCTTTATTGCAAGATGTCAGCGCAGCCGGTGGAGCCGCACTTCCCACACCATGACTGCTAATCACTCCTCCTGGGGAACCCACTCTTCCTGGGTATGAGAGGAACACAAGACTCACCTCCTGACAAAGACGTTCCCAATGCACCCTGTGAGGTTGCTGATTTCGCCGGCTTCAGGCATGCCTCCTAGCTGAAAAACGGCCAGCTCATCTTGCCGCTTCTGCCTCCTGTGGCGATCAGACCCTGGTTGGGTTCCCTGAAGCTGATCGTCAACGTAAAGCCGGACTCTGGAATGGAAACACATTTTGTTTCAAGGAGACATGATTCCTTTGTGCCAGTCCCTCCTCCCCTGTGCTGGGGAAGGGGGTGGGGGATGTGGTGAACCAACATGCAGTAGAAAAGGGTGGCTCTGAAAGGTATACCCTGCGGAGTCACTGTAGATAGCGACATAGTGGCTTGTGTCATCTGCATATGCGTTCTTGGTGGTGAGCTCTGTAGAGAGGACGCTAACGGCCACTCTGCCATTCTGCAAGGAAACCTGGCAGGTACCCTCCTAGAAAGACAAAGAGGAGAATAACTTGTGTGCATCACAGACCCTCAGCAAACTCATGAGCAATTTCACCATATCAAGGGTAAAATGAGGTTCCAGGTGCAGCAACGTGTTTTCTGTTCCAAAACATACAGAAATTACCATATTTTTCACTCTATAATATGCACCTGACCATAAGACGCACCTAGTTTTTAGAGAAGGAAAACAAGAAAAACATATTCTGAATGAAACAGTGGGTGTATCATTATAGTGGTTCATGCTGTGGCCACAGACATGTGATCTGATGGTGAACTTGGGGTGACCCAATGCAAAAATCCTGAGGATCCATGTGGATCCATGCTTTGTAACCACATTTTTGCGCCAATGCGGCCCCACACAACAGTGGGTGCGTGATTTTTTTGGTGCAGGCTGTAGCCATGGACATGTTATGTGATCTGATGGTGAATTTGGGGTGACCCAATGTAAAAATCCTGAGGATCCATAGGCTTTTACCTCCCCCCTCCCATATCTCTTTTCCGATCCCACCAATCAGCTGTTTCCTTTCAACATTCCCTTCCCTCTTGTTTGCCTTAGTGTAGAGTCTTTTCCTTAGCTGGAGCAGTTTTTTGCTGCTCCTTTTCTTCTAATTTCTCCCCTTATTGCTTTAGTCTTCCTGTTTCCCCCCTTTGCAAGTTTGCTGTCTTTACCTCCCCCCTCCCAGGTAGCCTCCTTTATCTCTAGCGTCCCTTATCTCTCTCCCCAATTGGCAAACGATCAGCGGCTTTGTTTCAACACCCACTTCCCTCTTTCAAAAAAAAAAAAAAAAAGCATGATCTGCTTTTCGCCCCTGGGCAATTTGGCTCCAGGGACCACGCATTCCCTCCATAAGACGCACAGACATTTCCCCTTACTTTTTAGGAAGAAAAAAAGTGTGTCTTATGGAGTGAAAAATACGGTAACACTTTTCTCACAACAGACAAAGCCTGAAGAAGATCCAGCCAGAGCTTTGAGATGGGGAACTGAGTAGGAAATAGAAAGCATTCCTCCCTTGGGAATACAGGTGGCAGTCAAGCTTTCAGAGGCCACCCGTTGTGCCAAGGCGACACAAATCGTGGCGCATCTAACAAAGGGAAAGAATAGGGTGTGTATCTTCCACGACACTTAAGTGTTCTCTTACACTGGTTCTCAATGGAGGAAGGAAGTGCTAGGAACGATTCGTGCCCATCACCCACTTAGGAGAGTTGACGGGTGCTATACTGGGACATCAGCCAAGAGGAAGGGCATACCTCTGTCGCATGGTGGAACATCAAGCCACGGCTTTGGGTGGTGCGGAAGCTGAAACCAGTGTAGAAATCTTGCAAAGAGGGCACATCCTGCAGCGACATCGTCAAGAAGCCGTGGCCGTGAAGTTTAACCGAGCGAGCCACCTGCAAAGGGGACAGAGTGATTGCAAAACCGATAGAACCCATGCAGCAATGAGACTTGCCCCTGAGTAGACATACATATGGGGAAGTCCCTTTCAATGTACTTGACAGAAGCACTCTTCCATTCTCAGCCCTGCTTGTGAGCTGCCCAGGGACATAGGGCTGAGCACGGCTGAATGTCTGATTTATTTTCATGTCTGAATTGCTTCCCACCCGAAACGATAGGCAATAAAAAAACCACATATGTAAAAACAATATTGAATCTCAGGCAGGTGTGAACCTCC